TTTTGTCTTTTCGATCATGCGAATTTTTCCAAGAGTTATCCAATCAATGATTAAATCTCGTGAAACTTTCTCTCTTGATCTTTCATATCCCATCCAACTTTCGTCATTCTTCTTTCCCGGCTCTCGTAACTTTTTAAAATCCATAGAAAAATCGCCGATACCGTCGAACGAATTTAACGTTAGCTCGGTGGTCAACGCAGTTCCAGTAATAATCCATTACCGTTTAGTAATCGGAATTACAATATTCCATTTTAAAATCCGTGTCAATTAAAACTGCAACGCTCATACAGCGTTGTGCCAATAACATTTGATGATGGTAACATTTTTATATATATCGCAAAAAAAAAAATTGAATACGATTTTACATTTTTAACATTAAAATCTAATACGATTATCCGCGAAAATCTAACTTTCAAATTTTTCCATGAGATGTAGAAATTGGAAAGAATTTATTTTATATCTCGAATCACTTTCGGAGATATTTGTCCGCTGCAAATTTCGCCAAATCCCCCTTCGATCGCGAGTAAAAATCGCAAACTGCTCGAACTTATTCACGCGTAAGAACGTAATAACGTAATGGCGCATTCTCAGGAAAACCACGAATCAGGATTCGTGTCGGAGCGAATGCCAACGCGCGCAAGAGTAAAACAGGAAGGAGTGGAAACGAGGCGAGCAAAGATTGCTGGAGGAAAATAATAGGACAATGCACATCGCGATGAACGAATATACGAGCGGATACGCCGATCGACGAGTATGGACAAATAGACAGATAGGTGTACGGATAGATGAACGAACGAACGAACAATCAAACGAGTAGACGAATAAATCGAAAAGGAGCAAGATAAACGTCGCGAATGCGAACGTATGAGAGAGGAGAAGCAGGATGTCCCAACGTTTTCAAACAAAATGGCGCATGGCGGAAGAGGACGATTCTCAATAGCGTTGACGAGTCGTGTCGACCGGCGGTTTTACCGTTACGCGACCCAATGAGAAAAGATACGCTCGCTGCGAGAAACGTGGCCGCTTCCACCATTCGACGGTACCTTGTAACCAATAGTACGGTATAGTGAGAACGTGTGTGGATGATCGTTCATGAGTGTTATCGCACGAGTAAGTCTCACTTTATGTTCCAGAAGACGTGAGGTTAAATGTTTATTCCGCCAAATGGCGGATTCATTAAAGTCTCCGAAACAAATTGCTTCGAAGATTTAAAAGAATTATCAGATTTTATCTAATAAATATAAGCGGTATAAATTTTCAATCATTCTTTACGTGAACGTTAATAAAGGAAATCGTATACAACAGCACATAAAATAAAATAATATAAATGTACATAAATGATAATAATTTTAAAAATAGAATAAAATCCTTTATTATTCTATTTGATTATTTTGAAGAGTTTTCATTTTTTGGCTTACCCATTTTTTCTCATTACTCCGAATTCTTAAAATGTAATTTTATTTTAAAATTCCTATCTCTTCCTTAATATTAGCAGTGGAATATTGAGCATACTATACTGCTTATTCATGGCGAAGCTGAAAATTCCAGCTTGAATGGGTGAGCTTATAGGTGGCGGAGCAGGATAAGTCCGACAGACAGACATACAGATGAACCTAACTGGTTCATAGGGCTTCCATTTGAATATACGAAACCGTGACAAGACGTACGCCGCCAACGTACGTCATGAGCTTCATTGTTGAATATTACAAGTCTCTATGGGAGCAGTTGAACAGACAACATTCGCCGCTCCCGCTGAAACTTCAGCGCGCGTCCTTTTTCCATCACGTCGTAATGATGAGTAATATGATTATGATTCAGAAATAGTATCTAATTAACTTCGGTTGGCGCGAATCAATGTCAGAGATGAGTCAATCATAAATATCGCGACATTCGCGGTCACGACAGTGCGGAACTATTAGTTTTCAACGTCACCGCGCCGCGATATTCGATTTTCACGGTGATTTGTGTCGACGTTCGATGTTACGTTACGATAGTGAAACGCCACGATGCTGCGTCATGTGAAAATCGATCTTTATAATGGTAAAACTCTTCGGATGACACGCGAAATCTGGATGCTGTTGTTGATACATAAATTTTTTAAAAGTATCAAATATTTTCTCTCCAATTAATTAATTTCTTCGTCGACGAACTCAAAGATTATTTTTTTTCTATAAAATATAAACAGACCGAGGACAATGTATAATTTTATCCAGCTTAAAAATGGATTCATTGTATTAAATACGTATTCAACACATGGTGCCCACACCAATTGAAATAATTATAACCGGAATCGTCAACAATGCTCTTGAAATAATACTATTTTTATTTCATGTCGCCAATTCTATCGTCCATTGCGATTAAATTTTTTAATTGAAACAGGATTTTATGTACACCTCGTAATTCGCGTGAAAAATTAGCGAAAATTCATGCCATTTATATTCGCTAAACAAATGTGCGATGCAACGGGGAGAGGTGAGTGGAAATAACGCGTTGTTTTCGTTGTTCAGCAAAAAACGCACGAATAACGGTTTGGGGGGTACAGATTTTTTAAAAATTTCTTTTGTAAAGATGTTACAATCAAAAACTCTAAGCCGTGAATATTTACGTGCACGAAACAAACGATACTTTAACGTATGGAAAATATGTAATAAACATTTGTACTTTTAAATATCCATTTATAAATATGGAACATATTTTTCCTACAGGAAAATATATACGTTATCGCTTGTAAATCATAACTTGTGCGACCTTTTATTGCAAATTTTTACGCGTGTAACATACCTCAAATATCTGTATGTAACAGATTCGTACGTAATAGATTTTTTTTTATGAAATGTGTTTTAGCGCGCAGAATTTTTGCAAAAAACATAGAAACCAGCTCGCGTGCAGTGTACATACGTTGAAGCAGTGTTATAATAATGCTTTTGTACAAACAAACGGGAACACTAAAGCCGAACGTGTATCATTGTGGAGAAACAAATCAGTTTACGCAAATAATTCACGTGTATTTCTTCCACTACGGCTTTTTCATTCTTTCTCTCTAGATTAATCTTTACGATCGTCATCTTTCGCGCTTTAATTGGGTCGCTTATGACGAAAACACGAGAGTAATCCAATTTCTCTGCGACGCCCCAGACATTCTCTAACGGCAGTGCATCGCTGCCGTTTAGACGAGAATTCACGCAGCAGTGCGAAATGTAGCCGGTTGACGAACCGTTTTCGCGTGTTCATTATTTCGCAAATGCGACACGGCAGTGAGCGTCCGACGCCTTTCGCGTTGCTAAATGCCGGCGTATTATCTCGCGCTTTGCTTTAATCACGCTCGGAACGCAACGGCTCCTCGACAATCGGCATTGTCAACGCAGCGAAATGGTACGCAGCTTGGCGTTAATTATGCAGAAGGTAGGCGGACTCTCGCGGAGGCGGTGAACCTAGAACTAGGTTGACTCCCGACAGGTAATTTGTATCGCATTATCGCGGCCTACGCAGCGACGACGCCGCGCGCCGCGAATTTATTCCGGCTTAATGGAAAACGCGTGTACGGGCAAAAGTGTAGCAAGAAGTGGCCGATCGATTCTTACCTTACTCATCGAGCGTCTCTCCCACACGGTCGATTTTCTCGTCGGGTCACCGGGTTATCGGGTTACCGTCGCGCCGATCGATTGCTCGTTAGTTGTTGTCACTACCTGGAAAAATATGAGAACGTGTTAGAGTAAGCTTTTAATGGACATCTCGAGCTTCTTTCCAGAATATACCATCTTAGAATTTAGCTTCTCCCCAAATACTTATCAAGCGTTCTCGACTATGATTAATCTACGGACCTGTAATTAACGATTGTAACGTTCACAATCGCGTTTTTCTTTTTCCAGCAACTAACAAAGAAACGCGCATCGAGGAGACGCAGATAGATACGTACGAGGGCTCGACCGTGCAGCTGCAGTGCCGGTTTCCGCCGATGCCTCAGAGCGTCTTGTCCTTTTGGCTCACCCACACGAATCACAACATCGACAACGCGGCGTTCGGCAACATCTCAATGTCGCCGAACTACGATGTGTTCCTGAATCTGAAGGAAGGCCGTTACGATCTGCAGATCAAGAATGTGTCCTACGAGCGCGACAACGGCAGATACGAGTGCAAGATGAAGGACAGTTCATCTGGCCGCGACAGTTACAGAAAGTACATCACGCTGACGGTGCTGAGGGCGCCGAGTCAGCCGACGATATCGCCCACCGCCGCACTCGCCATGGAGGGCCAGCGGCTGGACCTGCAATGCAACACGTTCGGCGGCAGTCCCGAGCCGGAAGTGAGGTGGTACCGCGGCGATAGCCGCACACAAGCGCTGCACACCGGCAAGACGCTGTCGATCGAGCCGAGGCGCGAGGACGATGCGGTGATCTACCGATGCGTCGTGCGAAACCGAGCGATGCGCGAGGGCGAGACGCTGGAGGCCGCGATGACGCTCAACGTGAATTATCATCCGCGCGTGACCGTCGGTCCGGCGAATCCGCTGAAGATCGAGGTGAACGGCACCGCAAATCTCGAGTGTCACGTGGACTCGAAGCCGATGGTGCGCTCGGTCCGATGGCTGCGCGAGAACGGAAATTACATTTCCATGGACTTCCAGTACGACATAGCCAGAGTGACTCTGGAGGACGCGGGCAGGTACACTTGCCAAGCGGACAACAATCTCTCGAAGAAGGGTGAGGCCTATCTCATGCTGGACGTGCTTTATCCGCCAACGGTGTCGATCGAGGGCGACACCGTTCGGATAATTGATGTGGAGGACACCGTGACGGTGCACTGCAACGTCTCCGCGAATCCGATGCCGTCGGTGGTCGAGTGGCTGCGAGACGGCCGACCGGAATTTCGACAGTCGAGCTCGATTCTTCGACTGACTCGAGTCACAGCGGATCACGCCGGCAACTACACCTGTCGCGCGGTCAACACGATCCACCCCACCGGCGGTGAGCGCAAGAATTATACGGCTTTCGCCAGCATGACCATCCGAGTGCGGCACAAGCCCGGCCCCGCCAGAATGACGCCGGACTCGCCAGTAGCTGTCGAGGGCTCGCGAGTGATATTAACGTGCATGGCTAGCCCGGCCGGTTATCCCGAGGCGCAGTACAAATGGTGGAAGGAGACGGAGGGTAGTCCTGCGTTAGTCCAGTTGGGGAATCCCTCCGGCCCCAAGTTCGAGATCGATTCCGTGCATCTTGGTAGCGAGGGCACCTACAGGTGCAGCGCGGTCAACGAGATCGGCGTCGGCGAAGCCGCGTCTGTAAATCTCACCGTTCATCAGCCACCGAAAATACTGACGAAATTGCAACCTTATATCACGAGAAAGTAAGTACATACTGATACAAAGCAGACACTGCGCTATTAACTTTTTGTTAATTATTCGCTTGAAAAAAGATGATTTTTATCTGAAAAATAATAATCATTTTTATTTTTTGCATTTTTTGCTGAATTTTATTCTTCGCATTGCGATTCTCTTCGACTCTTACAGCTGTTACTGAAAAATCTTTTTAATTAATTCTCGGAGACGTGTATTTGTCGCTTTATACGTTTTTTTCCGCATGCAAAACAACGGAAAGCAACAATTTGTCCGTGAGCACAATTTACTTTTTGTCAACTTGTGACGCGTCTTCTTCATCTAGTTGGCCCTTTAATTTCCAAGTCGTTCTAAACGTCGTTGACGTAATTGCAGAAGTCTACGAACTTTACGTTTGCTTTCTTCTACCTGCTTCTTCCGTGAGCTGTGCGCCGTGTAACGAAATGAAATAGCTTCGCTAGATAGAACAAGATATATCTTGCGTTCTAATAATGTAGCGTCTTCTTGCTTATCGCAGAGTCGGCGAGTCGTCGTTCCAGGTATCCTGCGTAGCGCAGGGCAAGCCGCGGCCTAGCGTGCGCTGGCTGAAGGACGATCATGAAATAACGGCCGAAGAGAGACTCTACAAAGTATCCACGTCGGCGTCGGAGGGCCACGGCAGCGTAATAACCGTAAATTCTACGCTGAGCTTTTTGGGTCACGCTCGCCCGCAGACCGACGAGATCGTGGCGAGCGATCGCGGCAAGTACACCTGCGTCTTCGTCAACGAGGTGAAGAAAGTCGAATCCACGATGATGTTCAAGGTGGAACACAAGCCGATAGTGCTCCATAAACACGGCAAAGTGGCCTACAATCTTCGCGAGAACGCGGAGATCACTTGCATGGTGCAGGCGTGGCCGAAACCGGAGATGCAATGGAGTTACGGCATGAACGCCGCGACTCTTCAGGGTTCCTCCAGCGACGGCCACTACGACATCACCGCGTCGAGCTCCAACAACGACGTCTACATATCTACTTTGCGAATGCCCAACATCCAAGAGTCCGATTATGGCAATTACTCTTGCCGCGCTAACAACATTCAAGGCAGCGTCACATCCACCATCAGATTGCAGCGCAAGGGAGCACCGGAGAGACCGACTAACGTCTCCGCCATGGAGGTCGGGCCTACGTACGTCGCTCTAGAGTGGCAATTGGGCTTCGACGGTGGTCTGCCTATCACCAAGTACTTCGTTTCGTACAGAAGAGTGGCCGGCGGCGACGAGATCGTCGCGCCCGACTGCGCACCTCCGCGCGGACCAGCCGGCCAATGGCTCGAGCTCGACTGTAAACGATCGAATCCGTGTAACGTGACCAAGTTGGAGCAACATCAAACCTACACCTTCAAAGTGAAGGTCTATAATACCAAAAATCACTCGGATTACTCCGAGGAGGTTACCGCCACCACGGCGGTGGCGAAGATACCGGCGCCGCATAGAGTGAGCTACGATCCAGAAAGCGGCACGCTTCTTGTTAGCGTGAATCCCACATGCTTGGCGATAGTGGCATCCATCGAGAAGTTCGACGGCGGTTCGGATACTTCGTGGCGAATTGTCGACGAGTGGCCCCTCGAAGTTCTTGGAACTGCGCCTACTCAAAGGGAAGGAGTATTGGACGATCCCGAAACCGTCGACTCGAACCCCCGACTCAGAATTAGGCTGTGCCTCAAAGCCGACCGGCAGAAGTGCGGCGAGTACGCGGAAGCCGAAAGTAAGTTCACCTCCGCAGGTATAATGATATTAATTAAAACCCGCGCTTCGCACAATTTGCGATTCGCGAGATAAAATCCTATTTACAATTTTCTGTAATGAAAAAATATTTGCGTATATACAAAATACATATTATTGATGTACATATATTGTATATATTTTGATTTTCTGAATGTATTGTGCATTATGCGGCATATAAAATTATAAACAGAATTCCATGTACATCAATTTCTGCCGCGAATTATTATATAATCATCTGAAATGGGTTTAATGGTTTAACTACTTCACAAATAATACAAAATTTTGCAAAAATAAAACAGCTAAATCTTATAAAAGATAATACAATAATTTGAAATCCACCGTCTGGTCGATGTTCAAGTAACTTATTATTCAAGAGCTATTTTCGATTACTGTCTTTATTAATAGAAGAATCCAGTACTTAGTAAAAGATTGTTTCTTTCGTAAAATATCAATAATGCAAAATTTCTAGATTAAGACATTAAATAATGAAATTATTGCATTATCTTGACTGGCAGATCCGTCAGTTTTAATTATCTTTTTACACTCAACTTTAAAAATAAAAAAGCTAAAATATTTAAAAGTATTATAATGTCTCTTATTTATTTATGTCTTGCTACACATTTATTTTATATAATTCTAAACTAAAATAATACGATATTGGATATTGATTTGAAGTAAAGTAATGTTTGCAATTTTGCTTATTTTAATTCAAGCAATTTTTTAAAATTTCTTTTTGCAGTTGGATCATCTTACATTGCACAAACTAGTGCTTTCGCAACGCCAACTTTAATCGCGTTGATAGTAAGCGGAGCAGTTTTTCTACTCTTCGCAGCCTTACTACTGCTGTTCTGCCGATGCCGGCGAAAACACGCGACGAAGGCAAAAGACTATGAAATGGATTCGAACGCGTAAGTTTTCTTGTCACGAAACTATTGTACGCTAGAGTTATTATAAGAACAAGAAATATTCAATGCAAGCTAAGTGTGTCACTTTAAATGACATGAATAAAAGAAGAACCTTTTCCATATCTTTTTGTAGGACACGACCGAGTCTCGTGGCAACTAATGGCCAGCAAACGCAACCACCGCCGCCGTATTACGCCGAAAATAAAGCATTGGAGCACAGCTTGGATCACGCTCTGGCTCTCGAAGATTCGAAGACTCCTGCCTACTCGCAATCGGGATACGGTTATCATCAGCCTAATCACAATATCAACGGTAAACATTACTCAAAAATTGTTTTCTTTAATTTTTAAATAAATAAATAATCGAAATCGAAAGATTAATGTATCGGTAAGAATTCTCTTAAATTGCAATCAGTTTAAATACAGTGTGTAATATTTCTTTTGCTTTTTCACGCAGGTGTGAATATGGGTTACATGGACAACAGTTACTCGAACTCCAACAACGGCGGCTCCGTAAACTCGCAGGACTCGATATGGCAGATGAAGTCCGCCGCGGCGAACGGCGTTAACCAACCCTACGACCTCGCCGGCTACGGCACCGCGGAGTCCGATTACCCCACGCACCCTCATTATCTCCCGCAACGGGAGGATTACAGGGAAAGCCATAATCTGAGCCGGCAACAGTTCTGCTCGGAGCCCTTCGCCACCGTCGTCAAGTCCCAGAAGCACGTTGGTCAGTATTAGCCTTACGATCGTTTCACGTGACTTGGCGGTGCACGGCGTCTAATGACAGTCCCTATATTACCCGTGTGCGTGCCGTGCGATGTAACGTTATAGATTATATCGTACGTTACATCGATCTTCCGCGGCCTCCGCGATACCACCCACCCTCTAAGACGCTCGTTTCGAAACCCTCGCCCATCCCACCCTCCTCCTCTCCATCATCCCTCATCACCGACTTCCGCAATCGCGCGATTCCGCCCGTCGTTATATTAATCGTCCGCTCTGTCTTCGACAGACTCGCCTTACGACGTGTCGGGACTGCCGTACCAGGAGAATTATGACGAGGACACGAAGCCGCCGCAACAGGTCAGCCTCTCGTACGACGAGAGCCTCGAATCCGGCTATTCCACGCCGAACAGGCGTAGGATCATCAGGGAGATAATCGTTTGAGACCTGCCTACCGGCTCGCGGGCCGGAAACACACGTACCACCTGGCTATAGCAGCAAGCCCCCGTATGTCACACGGTGACGCAACATCGGCCGCACTTGTACCACTGCCATCGATACCGTCATCACGTGGATATGGACATCGTCCTGGACGAGTCTGTCGCGCCGCCGCCACCACCGTTACCCGTCGCCGCCGCATCGTCCGCCGCCGCGACGACGACGATCCCGCAGCTGGGTCTTCCGATACATCCGCCGCACCACTTTCCGCACTGTACGACTGTCTACGACGTAGGTCTGCGACGTAACCCACCGTTGTTGCCTCCCGCGACGGAGGAGTATTATGCGAGGAATCGTCACGGGCTGACGCCGTATGACGGACCGGACGGCGCGCCCGCGCCGGTATCCGCCCGGCGCGTCGACAAATCCGGCCTGCTGGAAGTCTCGGAGACGGATCCGGCGACGTATCCGCGTTCCTGCGCGCTCACCAAGGACGTCGGCACGCGCAGTTCGTCGTTACGCGTCGATCGCACGGGCCTTCTCGAGGCGGTACCCGAAGACGTCGATGTGCCGGAGGAGCACTGCGGCGACGGCAGCGCGACGACGAAAACGCTCGACGAGGCCGCGGCTGTGCCACTGGGAGAAACATTGAAAGTGGAGGCCGACGTGCATTCTCGGTCGCCGTTCAAATTCGACGACAGTCACCTGCTGGAGCAGCCGTCGTCCTTGGAGGCGCAAAGCCGTCCGGACGAAGTCGACACGTGGAATCGTTCAATCGCCGATATCAAAGTGTTAACCGGAAGCCCGCGAGCTCCCTTGGACGTTTCAACTGCCGCGGAGAGGCTGTGGAAACGTCGAACTGAACTCACGCACTTGCCGTCCTCGCCCAGCTCTACCCTGCGCCGTCTTCGGAATGATCCCTCGAGAGCGTCCCCGTTAATAAACCGCGGCGCGGACGCGGACGCGGCACGACTGCGGAGTCAGAAATCTCCGGAATTCGCCGTTAACTCTGCGTCCCGAAAATTCACCGACCCGTCGCAGAGTCTGATCACGCGAGATCGATTGCAGCTAGGATGCTCAAAGGACAACCTTGATCCGGCATCAATCGACTCGGACGATCCAGTAGTCGACGCGAAAACGCTCCGCGGCGAATCGCTGCTCGCGATGGCAAGTGAACAGAAGAGCGAGCCGTCGAGCGGCGAGAAGAGGGTTGAAGCGGAGGGATGCGAGCACACGGTCGTGGAGAGTGTTAAGGAGAAGAAGGTATCGTTTAAAGGGTCCAACAAACTTCCTGACGACAATGTCCAGACGCCCAGAGTGATCATCCTGTCGGAACGATTGTGAAAGTGATCGTACTCGAGTGCAACGATTACGAGCAGCGATATCAGTACGCGCGTGTGCCGGCAGACGAATGGGTATCAAGGACACGGTCTCCCGAGAAATTTTATCCACCGTCGACAAGAAGGGTGGCGCGTCATCTTGTGGAACGCGCCACCCTTTCTTGTCTTTGCGTTTATCGACTTCTGCTAATGTTTAATTAGGCGAAAAATTTCAAAAAAATTTATTTTTGTTACTTAAAATTTATATATTTAGTTTTATATGTTAGTCGATAATTTTATTATTTTTGAAATTTTTTCTCGAGGAATCAAATTTCACCACGCGAATCTCAATGTATAGATCCGTCTAATTTTAAGCCGCTCGAGACTGATTAAATATTATTATTGACGTTTTAAATTCGGCATTTATATCGATATTAGATAGCATTACCGGACTTCAAAATAATTAAACTACCCGAATTTGATACGTTAACTACTGTTGTATAGGTAGTCAATCTTGACGCGGCTAATGATAAAACCTTCATTTTAAGCAATGCATTTCAAACATGCATTTATTATACAAATTTTGTTGAATTTTAACGATAATCATGTCGCTCGTTATTTTACTGCATTTATTTTTACTTCTTGCATAATTGCGTTTTCTCTATCGAGCGTATAGAGACGCGCGTACTCCTCTCGTGATACTGTGTTCACGAGCGCCTGCCAAATACTAGGACACTTCAATTTCCGGCCGCTCACGCAAGAAAGGATGTCGTACGTATAAGCAGGACGATATTTCAAGTATGACAGGGAAGGTCGGTGAAGTCTCGCGAAGCCAATGGCGCGTAGAAGCTGTCTGACTACGTCTATCGGTGACTACTCGAAAAATACGGTATTCGACGCATTTTATACTTTTATATACGACTGCGGGAGATGTTGTCTCTCCAGATGACAAACGATCGCGGTTTTCCGCAACCGCGCGAAAATATTATACATATATATATATATATATATCTCGATCAGGCGATTAACGCTGTCGATTTTGTAAGTATTAGACATTTATAAGTAAGAGATGTTATTTTTTTCGCGGAAAAATAGTTCTCGATCGGCGTTCCCGAGGGCCGTCGGGCTGAAATTAGTGAGATCATTCATTTTACACGTCGTCAACCTCGCGACGAACAATCCGGACAACCCGAGCGTGCGAAAAATATCCGAGGGACATCCCGAGCTTCGTGACGTTCCCGAGACGTTTCGACGTTTGTTGCGTTGTCGGGGTGGCGGCGACATATCGAGCGTCCATCATACACAGATGTAAATATTTGAGTAATTTTCCTAAGGTACTTAAAGGCGTAAGAGACGATGTTGGATGCGACATTTTAAATAAATCGTATTCGCGTCGCTGCACAGTCGCGAGGGACGCGATAAATTCGGGATGGGGCCCGCTCTCTCTAACACGAAAAATCTTAACGACAACGAACTTCGCTATTTCAGCCCGCGATATTCCGGACTAACGTTAAATACGTGTATCCAAATGTATAGACACTTTTTTTTTACGTTGGTGCGAATTCTACGCGTCACTCCGTTTTATAGTTGTACGCGGCGTGTAGAGATTACGTGCGCGGCGCCTTTGTTGAATTTTATTCCCCTCCTTCTTCCTCCCATTTTTTTTTATTTTTGTATCGACGATCGAACGCCGGCGAAGTATCATTTTTTTTCATTCACTTGAACATAAAAATATAAAAAGTGTATAGAAACTAGATTGTGATATTACAAATCGGTACCCACTGCATTTTCTATTGCGGTTTCACGACCGCTGTAACGTGTTGAATTAGAAACTGCCTGAAACGGCCACAAATTCTCATCCCGCAACGAAGCGAAAACCAATAGCCATGTTGCTCCTCTCTTCTCTTCAGACTTCATCGGCCTCGTTTCTATATTTAATCACTTCGCTGTTCCGTTGTATTTTCATGTTTATGGGAACGATAAACGCGATACTTGGCCGCGCGCGTTCGTTCGCGCATCGTTTGTGATCTCATTTATTCGTAATGTAATCTCGGAGACATTGTGTGGCCGGACGATCGCATCCCGGCCGTTGCGATGCGATTGCGCGTTCGCTATGCGGATCGACGTACGCCGCGGTTCTGTGTGGCCATTAGTCTCGTGTACCACGACGTAGGCGCAATTAGGAACGCAAATACTTTAAGTATATTCCACCGAAACACGATGTCGTGCTGCACGTACTACGCGATCGTAACGAGTCTTGTTGGACGTAATCTTCTTCACTGATTATTTCGTTAATGAAATACAACTGTATTTATCAAGCGTGACGTCAAGCTATTACTATCCCCAGTACTTTTATTTTCTTTCTCCCTTTCGTTCCGATCTCTCTGATGTATGTTTTTCTCTTCACGAACAAATTCGTTTCGCTAACGCTAATATGCAGTCCAATATCGAAATATTCCGCTTTACGCGACAAAAAGATATTTTTTCTCCCGTTTAATTTCGCATTAAATTTCGCATTTTGTTAATTGTATGCTTTATCTCCTTTTTCCTCCATCTTTCGGAGCGTGTTTTATTACTGTGTTTATTACCATATTTACATGTATCTTTTTCATTCCCCGCGCAAGATAGTTCATCTCTGACTGATATACGAAACCAATAAAAAAAAATCTCCTACTTCCATGTCTTTCATAGAACGAAAGTTAAGCGTTAACGTTAGACATTGCGCATGAGTTGCGTCTTAAAGGCGATATTCAAAATGAATAAGGTCTATTGTTTCGGCACAATTGATCAAGGGAGTTCTTGCGTACCTACTATAGGCTATATCCTTGACTCAAGTGCCAGGTAAATTATAGCCACGCGAGGAGAGAGACGGGCTGCGGGAAGGCAAAGCGGAACGAACGAACGGAAAAAAAGGACGGAGAAAAGATAGTCGACATATTTTTGCACAACGAAATCGTAGAGGATACCTATACATCAAACACGCGTATGTAGGGTTAATAACAAAACGCCAGGAACGCCAACAAGACCGTGTTCGATCGATTTACGCTATATTACGCGCGAGAAGAGCGAGAATTACGCTGAAGTTTTGTACATAGCGAAGAGAGATAAAGTATGAGAAAGAAATAAATGAGTACTTGTGTGGGTATGTGTGTGTGTGTGTGTGTGTGTGTAGATGAATGTGTATGTCATGGGAAAAAAAAGATGTTATAAGGCGTAAAGAAATAATTGTAACGACGAGCAGCTAAGTTGTACACTTTCCTCAAATAACGTCGCTCGCCCTAGATGTAAATACGAGAATGTACGTTTTTCTAAACTAAATAGCGCAGCGTCGTTTATATACACATATATAAACGCATGTTTTTTCTCCGAGAACGAAAGGAGGAATCTCGAGCGGAAATGAATGCCTACGTGTGCCGGAGACGCCGGCTAGAACAATACTAGATCCTTCACGAGGGTCTCGTTGATTTTTGCACGGGAAAGTCTTTGTTCGGGAAAATCGCCGAATTCTCGCGATAATCTAGTACGCACCGCGTGCCGCGCGCTTGTGCGCGGCTGCTCGCAATATTAATTAATAGCGAGTGTATCGCTCGCATCGCGCTCACGCGCGTGCACGCGTGCGACGCCACGAAATTCGTATATTATTATTATCCATTAAAGTTATGATATTGTGATGAATTATTATTTGTACAAATTTTATGTTGCAATATAAAATAAATGATGAAGCGACAATCACGCGTCATCGATTCTTTCCATTTCTCTCTCCTTTCTTTCTTATGCATTAAATTGAAGTCTGCAATCGTTTTATCGTTCATTCAAGTTATAATAAAGTACAACTTATTCAAATTTATCCTAACTAAAACATTAGCTCAATGGAAACTTTTGATGAAATTTGTGTATTTTAAAGATTTATTCTGCCTATCCTTTTCACGTTGAAAGAAAATCAAACGATTAGAATTCAAGGAAGTATAAACCCCAGATTCCCGCGTGCAATTTATATAACAAAGAGAATAAACTATCGAGAAATAACCGTTTCTCCGTCGACCTCCACATCGAGACATCGACCTCGAAAGCTCGATGGCACGAGCTTGCGCTGTTGCACCGGGATTGCCTCCCACTTCGTGCTCAATAAAATGCTCGAAGACTTTTTGCCGTATACGATAAACGTGTTTTCTTCGGAAACCGAGGCGATACTTTACATTCGCGGCGCGAGCGGCCGGTGAAAAATGCGCGGAAAGCTATATTACCGTGAACAATCGATAATGGACGAGATGCAAGTTTTCAGTGGCATGCACGAATCGATGGGTGTAACGTGGAATATGCTGACAGCATTGACGAGACGCGAGAAATCAGGTGAGAGAATATGTTCACACGGTGCAATGTTCCTCCAACAACATCGCGCCAAATTACACGGCAGACGTCTAACGTTATGAAACAGCTGTTCTGACGCGCGTGACTCTACCGAGCATGCTCGTAATCTTTCGCGTTTCTGACGGTAATTCTAATTCATTATGATCGTAATAATGTTACGAAGCTAATGTTATATCGTAACGCATCGAGCTTCCAGCGTTCTCAGTCGTGAACATCATTTTACATAATGGCATTATATACATAATGAAGTTAAATAATATTCGGCTATAAAATTATGTATATAATTCTTTAATGAGTGATACAATTTTTAAATTAGCTAAATGTCCTGTATAATCGAGTTTAAATTTTAATTTTTCTGCATTTTACATTAACCATTTTTTCCGTATTTTATGCTTTGGTAAGTATGTATAAATTAAACATTTTTATGCTAAATTAACTGATGCAAAAGGGAAATTAATAATAGAGTAACCAAATTTTAATTTTACATTTTTTAATTGAATAATAAAGTAGCCAAAATTTTATCACACAATTGTTTTAATTATTTAAAAAATGCTATTATTATTATAAAAATGCTGCTTTATTTAATTTATCGTATTTTGAAAATGTGGTGTAATATCTTTTAATCGGACTTGGTTTTAGTTTATTATGTCAAAGACCGTCTGTAATATTTCTTGCCCTTGAGATATCCTCGAAAATTGATTTCCGAGACACAATAAGAAGTAACAACACGAATAGGCACGCGCGGGCAGTACCGCGTTCTAATCGCGTGATCGTGATCACATGGCAGTCAACTTCGATTCCGAAGTCTGCAAAGTTTCGAAGATTGCAAAGTTTAGTGCTTTAGAGAGATTGCGCGTATCTTCCGCGAAAAAATTGTGCAAACAAGGATATGTGACTCAATGAATAAACGACATGATTTTACAATAGACAATATCACGGAAAAATGAAAGGAAGATGCAATAATATGTATATCATGCTGTTAAATGTGATAAAGTGAAAAAAATTATACTCGTGCATATTATGTTAATTATGATTCCGACTGCTAAACTGTTTAATGTTGTGACATATTTTCGTATCAACGCGTTACAAAAATTGTGTTAATAATTTTATAAAAATCCACAAGCTCTTGTTTTTGCATTGAAAAATTATCAACAATTTTTCCATATGCAACTTTTAAATATTTGGAATTCAACCGTATAATCCGTATTTGCATCTTGTTTGTGTTTATTGACATAAAAGACATTTTGTTGACATAAACGACTGCATTTAAAGCACTGTGATATTTCTGTTTAAATTTATATTTGATCACGTAATATAATTTATTATTTATTTATATTATTTGTTTGTCGCATTAATGATTGTAGTATTTATTTGTATCGATTGCGAATAAATTATTGATCGTTTCAAAAATTACATTTTATACAATCAAATCTCTGTTTTTCGCGAAAGAAGATTGTCACGTTGCCAACCCAATCGTCGCAAACCCGCGTGGGAATTTTCACTTTCATCTTTTTCCCTCCCGTAAAAGAAAATTATACGATCAGCCCCGAGGGTTCAAGATAATAATAGTTGCCAGTGACACTATATGCATGCCCCAGTAGTAACTAATCGATGTTGTACATAAGGGCATATTCAGTCGATGTTCAAGCGATAGTACACCACATTGCTTGGTTAACGTGTGACATAAGATTATTAATACTAGTGCTATCAATATTTGATTGCGTAACGAGAAATCCAATTATCAAGGTAATAATCATTTAAATTCATATATTCACAGTAAGTGCGTATTGAATATCGAGCTAAGGTATTTATAACACTACAATCAGTGAATCTGAATTTTACCTGACACATATAAAGGTCAAGACAACATAAAACATTCAATAGAACACGAGAGTTGCTGCATTTAGGAATACAATCTTGTGTGGACAATCTGAATCAAGTGTGGTTAGCCGATTTCGAATTCCTTCCTAGTTAAACTTGAGCTAAATTTAATTAAAATTGACAAAAACGAGACTATCTACAACGCAAACAGCAGAAACAAATAAAATGATAAAGGTTTCTATGATTAGATATCAAAATTGAAATATAAAAGAGCGAAAAGAGCCAATGCCAGTTGTTCGTGCAAAAACATTGAAATTGAAAATGGAATAAACAAACGTTTAAGTCTGTCATCCGGTCTTCTTTGGTGTCAATAATAGTATTTAAACGCACGCAATTTTACAGCATATAATACTAACGAATTGTTAGACAGACTGCACGAAAACGGTAATAAACAGAGTCAAACATTTCTCACTGAAATTAAAAACCAAAAAACAATTTAGACAATAAATATTAAATAAACCAAACAAATAAAAATTGAACACATACGTATGTATGTCAATAATAAACCGAAGAAGGATGACAGACCGAAACGTTTATTTCATTTCAATACATGTTTTTGCACGAACAACTGGCATTAGCTCTTTTTGCTGCTTTATACTTCAAAGTGGAAACAAAATTAACCGAAGCTAATGCGCTAAGCTAACGTTGATGCAAATGGATCCAAATGTGCCATTGCATTACAGATTCAAATCACCGTGTGCATTCGACGAGCACGTTTCTGCGCGTCCGTGGCTACCAATGCACGGCGAGTGCGTCCGAAACGACGACGCCGAGATCGCGGGTGCCGCAACTCTCGATTATCGACCACGGATGCACGCCCGCCATGGTCAAGGCGCAGCCGCGGGCCAGGCGCGGCCGCCGCGATCAAAGCTGTCGGACTTCCTCCACCTCTGGGTCAACAACATCCGACTGTTCTACACCTGGAACACCGTAGACGATCTGACACCGCATTTCCCCGACACGATGGGCAACCTGCAAAGTGACAGCAAGAAAAAGCAGAAGAAGAAGGACGTCACAGCGGCGGCGGTGACGACAGGAACGGCGTCCGCGTCCTCGGAGGAGCTCGATACGGACGAGGACCAGAAGGGAGACAAGCGGGACCAACCTCGCGAGTTGGCCAAAGTTTTCGATGGGCGCGACGAACCTCGCGAGCAAATTAAGATCAGCTTCGAGAAGGTGCAGACCAAGAGACAGGCGCCGCAACCGCCGAAAATCATATTGCCCAAGGTACCATTTTATCTTAGTGTCGAATCGAATTCAGTCGATCATCCATGCAGTACTAAGACGATCATTCCAAATCATTTCACTCGACAGCGTATTAACTATATATATCGAAACATTAACACAATTGATTCCGGAAATAACAATTCGGATCATCATAAATTTAATTTCTCATGAGAAAAACAAAGCGGAATATTGTTGATTAAACGATGGGAGACAACTTCGTTCTGTCTGTACGTTACAATCATCTCTTGCTTAAATCGGTATAAAATCGCTTTGCAATTAGGACACGCAAGAAAGTGTGAAGCCAGAATGTCGCAAGGACATCACGATTGCGGAGAAGCCATGTGTGACAACGACAGAGTCTTTCCGTCCGAGCACCGGGACGCCGACGATGACGACACCGGCGCAGACCCCGACGACACCGCAGACCCAGCTGCCGCCGTTGCTCGTGACGGACTCGTGGCGCTTGGCAAACAAAAGCCTGGTCGTAGCGGAGATGCCGACGCCGCCTAGCCAAGAGTCTTCGAGCGACAGCGTCTTCACCGACCCCGGAGAGCTCACGAGTCCGGTCGCGACAATCAAGGCGGCGAAAGTGGCGAAATCGCCGCACGAGGCAACGACGAGCAAAGAGGATAAATCACCGTTCGTGATCTCGAAGCACAAGAAGATCCGCCTCTCAGTGATCAGTCCTCGAATAAGTGAGGAATATTTTATCAACTTCGCACACCGCGTATCTTCTTGCATAATTTTACCGCAGCAGTTAACCTGCTATTAAGAAATCAAATAAGTCGGTGAAAATTGATGTTAAAACTTTTACAATATTCTGTGTACAATGTAGACAAAAACCTGTTAAGTACAAGTTAAAGTACAAGCACAACTCGTATATATATACATCGTATATATAAGTGATATTTATGTAACAAGAGCGTAGTGTGCGTTGGACCTAAGTCAACATTACTGCGGCATTCGATGTCTTGAGCAAAATGCTATCTCATTTTTAGGCGCAACATTGAGCCCGGAAGCGAGCTCCAGAACTCCGCGGAGACGTCACAGTGCCTACGAGGCTTCGGCGAGCAAAAGTATAGCGCTAAGGAGAGTAGCTAGCTTGAACCTGGATCAAAACAGTGCTAAGAAAAAAAGAATCGCTAGGAGCATCATTCCTCAGAAGACGGATCGTCACAAACAATTTGAAGGTGAGAGATCGACGATCGGAACAAATATCCGATGCAACCAGTCTTTCGAGGGAAACAAAAATAGAGTCTTTTTGGAAGTTTATTTTATTTGAAGATCTCGTAAAATTTCGGCTCTGCACATATGGCTTTGCTTCTAGTGAAGCCAGAGAGCATAAAGATAACCAGGTACGAGATAAAATACTTTTATGACTATGTATAGGTCAACACACGACCTAGAATCTATCGCGCTAATGATTGCGAGTTCATCGCGGATCTTATCTGGTGACGGAAGAAGAGATGTGCGATAACAGAGAGTAAACACGGCCGCTTACTTTTACCTCGTAAGTGACGTAACTAACAAGGCGTTCGCGCGTCCGCGAAAAATTCGCGAAATGTCATATAAGATTGACAGATAACGATCGCGGCTGACACGCCGCGCGATACGATGATAACGATAATTGCCGCTCTTTCTTTTTCCCTGTCATTGATAGAGTGAATTAAATGTTTTTAAACCACCGAATAATCCGTATCACTCGTGACCGAGGTTAAAGCGAAATGATACGTGCGAATAGAACACGCTCGCTCGCCGATAAGTCTTATCGATGGGGCGTTCGCTTAGGGTTAGGCTCGGTCTGTCGTGCTCTGACATGCTGCTAGTCAGTAAAATGCGGCAGTTTCTCGCGGAACACCGCTGTAAAATACATCCGTGGGACAGTCACGGGATAAAAAAGTGTGTAACAGTGAATAAACATCAAATCTCGAAACAGTCGCGCGAGAAAAATAAAGTACGCGCTCGCACGTGTATAAAGCGTGTCACGTGTGCTTACACATTGTGCTTAAAGGCGACAAGATATCGAATAAAGTATTTTAATTTTTTTATCGCAATTGACAAAAAGCACAAATGTTTTTGATACTTTCTCAACGTCCTTCTCCGAGAAGTAAGTTTTTTTTTGTTTCGTGTTGTTATCATTGTAAAAACGCCTGGAGCTAAACGTAAATTTCGCATATATTTCTTACTAGTATTTTATTAAAAATCGCATTGTGATAAAATGATCAAAGAAGTGAGATATATCTAAAAGAATCGCTCATCGTGATTGTAAAATAAGATAAGAAGATACACGACGATATAACGTTCCATTATTCCCTTAACATGCATCGTTAATTACGACGGATTGTAAGCTCATAAAGATACAAGTGCCGCTAATGATGCTCATATAAAGCTTACCCGGAAAATAAAATTGTTCAAATTAAAGTCAAGATAAAGCAGTTGCTTATCCAGTAAAATTTTTCGAGAGAGTACATTTAGATAAAATATTTTTTCAGCTTATCGTGATTTTAATATCAGGGAGCTGTTTTATAACGTTTATGTATATATATTTTTCAGAGCAAAAACTGTCAAACCTCTCGGCCATCCTTCTGTCAAACAAAGACGCGAAGAAAGGCATTACATCCATGGTAAGATTCTGATTCTGTTAATTTCACAGCAATCAATGTAATTATTTATTTTTAGAACGTCTTTTTTTTCTAATCAGATAGATCGGACAGACATCTGTGCGCTGGCAGATGAGTTTCTGTCAACTGAAACCAAATCGAGCCAGACCTCTATGCCCGAGAATACACATCAATACGAGGAAGAGGTGAAGAAGCTGAGAGATGAGATCGAGCGACTGCGCGAGATATGTATAAGCCGACAGACAAGCAGCAAAAGTCAATCCACTCAAACCTCGCCGAGAAGCGCGTCGCCGGTCGACGCGATTGCTAATGAAACTGATAATTTAAGTGTTAGAAGATCATCATCGATCAAGAGCGACCTCGAGGACACGAAGATGACTGTCGCGCATCCTTTCACAAGCAAAACGTCGATCGACATGATTTCAAATCAATCGTGCGTGTCGCGTAGTAGTTTGGCAAAAGCATCGAATGAAGAATTGGCGCCGTATCCAACACCATTGCCACCTCCATTACCACCGGACTCGTTAAAAGGCGCATCTACATCCCTGTCGACGTCCCTGCAGTCTTTCCTCCCACCACCCCCGCCGCCGCCGTCTCCACTCGTGGTCGCGAGTGAGCCAACGTGCAAAATCAAAAAGACAATTCCGCCGTCGTCGATCGAATCTGAAGACAGATTACCGACACCGCCGCCTCCACCCATGCAGATGCAAAGTATTGTGAGCACCTTCCCACCTCCGCCTCCTCCTCCACCACCGCCGCCACCTACACCGATGCTGAACGCGTTTCCACTGCCACCGCCACCACCACACATGCAAAGTATCATAAGCTCTATACCACCGCCGTCGCCCTTGCAAAATGTTATACCTCCGCCGCCACCACCGCCGCTTCCGCCTCCGCTTCCGTCCATGACAGTGCACAGCATCGAAAACAATTTGCCACCACCTCCGCCGCCACCGCCGCCTATGCTTGCTCAAAGTGCCGCGAGTGAAAAAATGGCATCGTGCACCATGAGCGGAATACCGCCACCACCGCCACCTCCTACGCCGATGATGAATATGTACGGAGCACCGCCACCACCTCCTCCACCGCCATCTCTAGATAACTCATTGCCGCCACCGCCGCCGCCGCCGCCGCCGCCGCCGCCGTTACCCGGAATGACGCAAAATTCTACGGGCGGTCCACCGCCACCGCCACCGCCGCCGGGTATGCTTATGCAAGGCGGTATACCACCTCCACCTCCGCCACCCGTCGCAGGATCAGGTGCGGGTCCACCATTTCCGCCAGCACCCCCGCCGCCCCCGGGTATAGCAGGACCCTGCCCTTTACCTGCTCCACCGGTCGGAGGGTGGAATCCACCGAGCAGAGCCAGTAGGTATCCAGACTTCAAAAGTATAGTGTACTCCCGATCATCTGCTTTCCGTCGTCGCAAATAATCGAGAGTACACTGTACGATCTATTCGATGCGGAATTCCGATATTTGCACCGCGTAACACAGTGCCTTGTTTTTGTAGTTATGAGAAAGCAAGCTTTAAATCCTGACGTGCCTATGAAACCGCTTTACTGGACGAGGATTCTAGTGCCAGTTACAGCGAGTAGTCAAGCTTCTGCGAATGCTACAGAATCGCCATCTCAGGTGAGTAAAAAAAATAGATCGTAATAATAAAATTTTCACAGTAGAGTTGTAACACTTGTTGTCTCGTTCATAGAAAAATCTGTGGTTAGAGCTTACGGAGGAGGAGAATATAAATATGAAAGAATTCGCCGATTTATTTTCGCGGCGAGTGAGAGAACCGAATCCGGCCAAGAAGAGCGTGGAGGCGCCTAAAAGTTCCAAGATCCAGCCAGCGAAAATACTGGACTCGAAACGATCGAAGATGGTGGGAATCCTCGAGAAGAGCTTGCACATTGACTTTAGTGAGATCGAGAACGCGGCCTATAATTTAGATACGAGCGTGATCAGTCTGGAAGCGTTGCAACAGATCTACGAAATTGTGAGTGAACAACATAATCGGAATTCTAGATACGAAACTCCGCGCACAAAATTTATTTCTGAATAATACGCCGACCTTTTTGCAGCAGATTCATTAATAATCCACAATTCACTTGAAAAATTTCCAATTTACAGAAACCTACGGAGAAAGAAATAGAACTAATCGCAGCTCATGAATTCGAGTTTCCGCATATCCCCCTCGATCAACCGGAATTATTTCTCAAACGACTGTCCGGCATAAAATACTTCTCCGAAAGAATAGCCTGTCTGATGCTACAATCGGAATTCCACGATGCGATCACGTCGGTTTCTTACAAATTGGATAACATGCGAACCACCTGCGATTTTCTGCTGAAATCTGAGTCTCTAAAGAAAGTTCTGGCTATTATACTAACTCTGGGTAATTATATGAACGGTGGAAACATGATGCGCGGCCAGGCCGATGGCTTCGGCTTAGAAATCCTGGGCAAACTGAAAGACGTAAAGGCCAACGTATCCGGCATGACTTTGTTGCATTATGTTGTCATTGCGAAATTATCTCAGGAAAAGGATCGTAATTTCGACGAGCTGTTACCTTTACCCGTGCCTGAACCGGCGGATGTAGAAGCTGCAGCCACAATCAAGTTCGAAGAAATATCCAAGGAGCTTGATAGATTGGAAAAAGAATTGCAGGGTAAGTCAAGTACAGTAGAAATGATATTAGGCTGCTCAAAAATTTGAAATTTTATAGAGACAAAATGTTTCTTTACTTCAAAAGTTCGATAGAAAAAAATCGATAAAAAAGAACTGATATATTGAGTCTTATTTTATATGACCGATAATATTTATCTTAATTTGTTTTTATAGTATTGATATAAAGTTGGTTATCGATAAAAAAATAATTAGTTTCAAGATTAATTAATTTTAAATTGATTTGTTTTAGCATGCGCAGAGAAAAGTAACACAGTCGTGGAAGCGGATCCAGCTACATCCAAAATATTCAAGGAGAAAGTAGACGCGTTTGTGGCGAGGGCGAATACCGAATTAACGAGCGAGAAAGAGGAATTTCTGGAGGCTAGAAACAAATTCAAGGCCGTAATGCGATTTTATCAGTTCATCCCTAAAGGCGCCACCATGGACACTGCGGAACCCTATGATTTCTTTAATTTGTGGCTTGGTTTTTGTCGGGACTTCAAGGTACAGTTCACAATATTCGAAATGCAAGAAAATAAATTACAACGATTCGCATTTTACAGGATATCTGGAAAAGAGAGCAGCAGCGAATACGAAAGGAACGGATAGAGAACATTCGCAAGAAGCTCGAGAAGAAACCTGAAGTCGTGAGAGTGAAGTTGAATCCGCACGGATTAAAAGCACGATTACAAAAGTTAACAAGTAAGAAGACTCAAAGATAGTCTTACCGAAATACGTACAAGTTGATGGTGATTGCGAACTTGGGCTCGCTAATAATTTACACATGCAATCAACATTCGCTAAATTATAAATTTCATACTCTCCTCGCGTTTAACGCTGCGACGTCCAAAGTTTAATTCTAAGAATTTAATTGTATATAATTTTCGATTTATACTCGTTAATCATTATTTTCAAACCGAATCGAAAACGGTGAATCCTATGATAAAATATGAATTTTGTATATTTGCAAAACGAGATAGACTGCTTTGAACAAATTGCTAACTTTGTTATTATAAATGCAGCATGATAAATGAGCTTCGGAAACTTATTTATCTTCTTTTCTTATAAATATTTATTGCAAGCACGCGTTTAAAGCGCAACACGGAAAGTTGCTTTTTGAACCTCCAATCGCTCAAAAATAATGAGGTTATTTTATTGTTTAAATTCTAATTAATTGTTATACGGAGATATTGAGAATACTTAAAATTCACGCAACGAAATGCGATCGCTTTCCGTACAAATGTAATACATATTGCCGATCGCAAAATTCGATAAACAATATGTAAGCTATAGCTATGGCAGACTGAAATAATAACGGTGCACTAAAACCTCGTATACACTCAAGTAGATAAGTTCTTGGAATTTCTTAATCATTAATATCAAATATAATAATGATAGGCTGACGGCAACTTTACGGGTACCGTTTACGAACACGTTCCGATCTCCGCGTAGTACTAAATAATTTAGCACGAGTGTATAAGTGAAGATTGGAGACTCGTTCAATAGAAGAAGGCCATAAATAAAATGTATTCTTCTTATATTTAAATTAGAATAAATAATGCAACATCTCTATGTAAAAGCAGATATAAAACGCAAGGTAATTTCACAAATTTTAACAAAATTTTATTGTTATTCAGTCAAGTGTCTTCGAATAGATTTTTAACGTGAATTAGAATGTACAGTAACAGGTTTGGTGCTCGATAATTTTGAGTTCCTTGAATAGGATTTCGTTCAGAAAAGATAAATCAACCTGACCAGAAATGGTCTTCAAAATTTTCGTATTTGACTCAAAGTCCTCGCAATTATATAACGGCAAAAATATTAAAAAATACAAGAAAGTCGAAAGCGCACGACATCGCGAGGTGAACGCAATTGCATTGCATCCCTTCACGATGTCGTATACTTCTATCTTGTACTTTTTAAAGTTTCTAAGTCATTACGCGACTACAACGAGTTACCCGAGACTCGGAATAAAGCTGAATACAATATTGCATGAAATCATTTCTGTAGATTGATTAATGCTATCTGAACAAAATTCAGATACTCAGAAACCTCGGAATTATTGCTACCGAATTTGTTATCGAATATAAATCCATATTAAAGATCTACTAGAAGGCATTTAATAATTTATGTGAATAAAGCTGCTAAAATCTGTGTAATTCTAAGACGTTTTATATCTGATTTTACTGGATGCGTTTTTCTTAATTGCATTTTGTCACTTCGTTCGTATTTAGTACAAAATAGGTTTCTCGCAAGCTCTGAAAAAGATTATAAGAAATTGTAGAGAGAACAACTAATTAGAAAGGATACGCCTATAGATACCATAAACGTTCATGGTGACTAAAAAACGTTTGTGCCTCCTCTTATATGATATTCTTTATATACTTATTCCATGAATTCTCATCACTCTAGACCGAATATTTCAAGAGAAAAACAATCGCAATCGTGATAATTGTTATTAAATCGTTATCTATTTATTTATTTATTTATTCATTTGTGTTAAATTATATTGTCATATAAATTGTTACAAATAAGAGTGTAAATAACGTTACTTGTACGAGATATTGATGTTAAAAAAAGATTCTTTATATTTAAGAGTGGAAAGGATGTATTCATCCTTTCTGCCTAATTTAAAAATAATATCGTCGTTTAGATATTATTGTTATTATATTGATTGTATCTTTTAATTATATAAAAGCGTTATATCGAAAAGTGCAGTTAACAACCGAATTATTATTATTATTATTATCTTGATAACTTTAACATACATAAGAAATAAATTAAATATAAAAATGGAATAATAAGATAATCTCATTAATATAGATCATTGATTTCTGATTTTTATAACCACCTGCAATTTTTTATTTTAAAACCCGCCCAACAATACTGCAGAGTATAAATTAGAAAATTGTAAATAAAAAATAATATATGTCTGCGTTTTACCGCATTTAGAGCATTTTATGCGTGTGTTTTGAAATATAATATTTTATATATTACAAAATAATAGGTATTCTGCTTCTTGCGTTTTAAGTTTAAATTTTCATAAATAAGTTGATATCACAACTTGTGCATTTATATTTTTAAAATTCGTTAATGTTTAAGAAAAGGATTAATTTCACGGAATTTCGATCAACTGAAATTAATTTTTACCGTAGACAATGCTAATAAATCTATAATATAATACGAGAAAAAATACGACAGTAATCTACTCATTGAAATTAAAATGTGAAACGCAAAGAATATTATTCTGTAACACGAGAAATATTTCGCATTGCATTAAGGTTGCGTACGCTTTGGACGCTCACGCGCTGAAAGCATCAGTCTATCTTTCTTGCTCATTATACGTCGAAGAGAGATAGAATGACGCCTTCAGCGCGTAAGCGTCCAAAGCGAACGCAGCCTAAATGTTTCAAGGCTCTCTATCATGTGGTATAAGAAATTGTTTATGTCACTACGTACGCGCGCTGTTGTTTACTCTCTATCTTTTTCTATATCCTGCTACACCGTACGCATATTTCAGCGTGTTATTCCTTATTCTACATCCCCACCTCTGTATTTCTAAGCTAATACGCGATTGCCTGCGTATCCTATCCCTTGGCATCAGTCGCACGACGGTATTCGTATTGTAAGGACTGACAATAACAAAAAGGAAGCTTAAAAGGAGCATCGAGCACCGGTGGAACAACTTTATGGTGAGGGATAGTCAGGGATCTATTCTAATTATAATTTATTTATTATCTGCTGTCTTATATATGTGCTTATTTATTAACTGTGTAAATGTTGCACATAAAATATTTGAAATATTTAGTTAAACATTCAATATCAGGAACACATTCTTAAAAGTGGAATACGATGCAAATAAAATCTTCAATAAATAAAAATGTACAAAATAAATTTTCCAATTTGGCAATACTAACGTTAAATTGTTTCCGGTTTGAGCGAATAATGATTTCACTTTGTGTATGATAAATGCTATTTTTGATAAAATAAAAATTTTAGACAAATAGAAAATCTTAGACAGCTGATGCCGATTTTACACCATTATCTCATTAATCAAAATTTAATTGCAGTGTATTAACCGATAATAACTCTCTAATATTACATAATCTACAGTATTATATCTTTCTTTGAAACTGAACTAATTAAATTTCCTATTATGATGTTTGATATTACCTCAGACAAATTTTAATTTAATATTTTTATTTTTCAGATTTTAATAAAATGTTTTTATTTTACAGATGTACACTTTTCAGATTTTTATTTAGCAGTTATGTCTTTTATGTTCATATATTTTTATATCTACATCTGAATATCTATCTATTTTTATATCTATATCTTGTTAACGCTTTTACAAAATAATTTAATTTAACAGGCATGAAGATAAGAAGAGGGAGCGGATAAAGATTGAGGAACTCAATCTTTTTTATATTTGCTACTATATTTTCTATGTCTATAATCATATATATGCAATGTACTTACCGTTTTCTCAGCTTTTCTAGATATCAAAGATGGTGTTCGATTATTCTGACTCCATTAATTAAACCTGAAATATAAAAACGAACGAAAATTATAATTGAATATGTTTATTAATATATTTATTATATTTATTATTTTTTATTATTGTTAATATTTTAATATGTTTGTTGATATAATTTAATATATTATTTTAATTCTAATATTATTTGTTTTTAACAATACTAATATTTGATGCATATGTTATAAGATCTTCAAGAAGATTACAATAAAATAACAGAAGAATATAGACGCTACAAGTAATACAGAATTCTGACAAAACGACTGAAGGATGCTGGTTGTAAGTATGATAATTATTTAAAGTATAAAATGCAAAGGAGTAAATAACAAGCTCAACAGCCGTTGCTAGATGGTTGTGCTAATATTCGAAGACAAATTATAAAAACAACGTTTCAGGTCTTCTTTAAGTTCACAATAAATGAGAAATTACATTACAAATAATAAACGCTTGTTCGGACCAATTAAACAATTATTATATAACATCGTTGTATTGATGTTAGCTTACAGTTATACAAGTATATGAACATACCTGGTGATGATCATGATGATGACGATGATGATGATCAATCACACTTTTGCTGCATGTCGACAAGGAAATAACCTGGAAGCGAATCAATTGCCTTTGACGATTTTAGTCGACTTTCCAAGAATGGAACAGAAAAGAACTGCAAACATAATGTAAGTAGAATATAATGATTGTAAAATCATGAAATATTATAAAAAATATTAATTAGAGAATGAATATGTTACCTGGTAATAATCTGGAATTTGCTGCCATTTTGATGCACTTCGGAGAAATAACACAACACATGAAAAAAAAATTTCGATCGCATAGAAATGAATCACTAATACCGAAATCGAATTAAAAACGACCGTACGTATATGATATTTGATGCGTTATGATTAACCGTCCTATATTTTATGTAAAACACTCACGATAATATTGCATTCGAGAAACTTTTTGATAATAGAGATCGCGAAAAATCGGAGTGGCGCGAAAATAAAGCAACGTGAATACAACTCTGCGATCAAGGCGACACATAGCGTTTCAATTTATCACGACAATTGAGACGCGACGCAAACTTCACACAATTACTTTGCAATAATTAGAAATAAAATTCGGAATATGTAATAAATATTGGAAGTAGTCTAAATAGTTAATTATGACCAAAAGTTTGAAACAATCTTATTGGTATAGCTAATTACAGATCGAAACACACGCATACCTGACAATGATCATGCAAGATCTACATTTTTCAATGCACTTTGGTGCGACAAAGTAACGTGATGCGAAGGAAATTCCGAACGGCACTACAGACGCATAGAAGCAAATCACCGATACCGATTATTGCAATAACATTCCGATACTTAACGGATTACTACGAGCATTTTACGAAAGACACTTCCGCACACGAAATTCAACACAATCGCGAAAAATACGAAGCGATTTACTACCGTTTGCTACTCTCCGGACATCGCGGCACGTTCTGAAACTGACAGCGAGCCGACATCTACCGAGAAATTGATAAATTCGAGTCCCGCCAAACTGGAGTTATTTAAAATACAATCATCGCAAAGCGTCAATATTTTTGCACAAAAAAAAAATTGCAGCAAATTAAAATAAGTTTTATTTGACAGGTAAAATGCTGACACTTTTGATAAACTTAGAATTATTTATTTTAAATAATTTATTTGCGAAATATTAATTAATTACAAAAATAAATTTAAATTGTTTGAGAGTAGAAAATTGTTTCCTCTATAACTTACTAACATGTTTACCAACTTCGTTTCTTATAACTTACTAGCTTGAATAGTATAGTGCACAATCACTTTCCAGGGTTGCATACACTGTGGCGTACTTCCACGCGTATATTCATAAGCCTTGAAGAGCGGGAGAAAAGTACAATCAAGCATCTGACAGTTCTGATGTTATCTATTTACGCGAGGAAATCCATACCTACCGAAAAGGTTAGATCTAGGTATGGGCAAGACTACGAGGGTAGTCGTCTGCGGGATGAAAGGCGTCGGTAAGACTGCTTTGTTGGAGCAGCTCGTATACGGAAACATCGACGTGAAAACGGTATGTGTTTAGGTTATGTTACCGTTTCTGTCATGTTACATTGATTAGAATCGCATAATTATAATTGTAGGAAATTCATCCCACAATTGAAGACATTTACGTTGCCAACATTGAGACTGATCGGGGCACAAAGGAGAAAGTTAGATTCTACGACACGGCCGGGCTTGAATCATTGCAAAGCAATGTAAATAATCAGCAGCTTCCTCGACACTATCTTGGTTTCGCTGACGGTTATGTTTTAGTATACGATACTGGTAAGCCTGAATCTCTTGACGTTCTTTTTCCCTTAAAGAAAGATATTGATAAGAATAAGGATAAGAAAGAAATTACTGTGATTGTGATTGGTAATCGGACAAAAACCGATACCGTATTGAATAACTTAGAGAATACTGCGAGCAAAGCGACTAATTGGTGTACTAGAGAAAAGATCAAACATTATGAAGTGAATGTCATGGATAGATCTAGCTTGTTTGAAGCGTTTGTGCATTTATCATCTAAATTGAATCCCCCCACTAATAAAAGTACATTCCCACAATTAAGTATGGGTAGGAAAACTATCAAGACAGAGGCACAATAAGGTTTATTTAAAATCTTGATAGAATTACATGAATAAAAATTTATACAGATGCAATATAAAGAGCATCCTGAATTCTGAATGTTGCATTCAGGTCTAATTTATTAGATAATGGCTATGCCATTCTATCAATACAGATGTGCTCTGAGATCTCAATAACAATATATACACACAGTATGTATTTTTCTGTTAATTTTGGGCATATATGTGATAGTAAGCTCAAAACGAGATAAACGGATTTGTAACCGTTGGATACTATGAAGTATGTACTTAAAACATTAACAGCTTTGATGGTGCAAAGCTGATAGCATTTATTTAACTGATAAATTTAAGTTTACAGCATTTACTTAACTAATGAGTCTCTCTAAACTTATGTACTTAAGTTGCTCTATAGAGCTGAAACTATGGTTAAACTTATATAGAATTATACGCAATTATTTTAAAAAATAATCTTTACTTATTACAAGTGCAGTTGTGATTATATCAATAATCATTATTTATGCGATAAAAATGTTAGAAAAAAACATTGTTAATAAATATGAACGTTATCGTATGTTCTTTGCTATCACTTCACCATTTTAAAGGTTCACTTAATTTCCGTAGAGTTAGATCCGTTTTGAGTAATCGATCCCACAATTCACTAGTAACCCCAAATCCTGCAAATGATAATAATTAATCCTCCATATAATTATTCCTCCGTAATTCCCAATTACCTTGATTATGATGCACAAAATGATGATAGTTGTGTCTTCTTTTCATCGTATAGAGATACGATCCATCTTTTGGTGCTCCATTGTGCAAATAATAGTGTATTAAATCATAACATAAATAGCCTAGAAAAGAAAAAAAAAATTACGACTAAAATGATAATTGCAGAAGTAACATTTAGTTACAGACGACTGGAACAATTGATTTTGATTTAAAATATTCAAAGATTTATAAATATGTAAATAGCGCACCTGTTATGGTACCAGCGCCGACAAGATAAACTATTGTTAAAGGAAATATGGCCTTATAAATTTGCCAAACAATTGTTGCAACAAACACACTGAATGTCGGTGGAAATACCAGTCTTCTTTGATCCAGTGGTGCCTATTAATTATTTTTACAATCAATGAAATTAATATACATTTGATTATGAAGTAAGGATCTGACGATCTTGTACCTTGTGATGATTCCCATGAAATAAGAAATGCAAAGTAATTAATAATCTTGAGTTATGCGGTGGTTTAAGATGAAATACCTTCCGATGCACAAAATATTCCATAACAGTCCAAATAAGTATTCCCAAAACGAATGATGATGAAATCCTTTGCAACGCAATTACTATAAAAGAAAATGTGCAATGAGTTTACAGTGATATACTTGCAATATGTTTAAAATGCATTTAAAAAGATTTCTACGTGCTTTCTACTTGATTATTTTGGCTTATAAATGTTTTAAATGTTGAACAAATTACCAATATTTGTCGAAGTATTTAAAACGTATCCCGTATGTAAGAAATATATGATTATGGGAATCCAAACGATGGGCAAAATATACCATGGCGTCATCGATAACATTTCTAAGATATCTGATTGGAAAAATCGGATGGGTCGGTTTACCGGCAGGTTTACCCATTCCCAATATCGACCACCTATAAGTCCTACTTGTCGTAAAATCGGCGCATCCCAATTTATCAAATCCTACGATAAAACATAATTTCATCAACTTTTTTAAAATTTTATTATTTATTTACTTAGTACCTAACGTAATTTTTTTTCTAATTTTTTTGCGCAATTAGTTTTTTATTGATTTAGCATAAGTATTAAATATTGTAAAAAGCAGTTGATATTACGAAGACATTTTGCATTTATCGGTTTATCTGCAATTTTTTATCTATATCGCGTGTCCGTTATGCGAGATAAACTCAAAGATAAACGTTTCATAGAACTGATATAACTAAGCCGGCGTAGATAAATTTGTGACACCTTCAAATTTAATATATTTGACATGTTCAAATGATTCATTATTTCATGAAATAAAATATTACTTTATCATTGACGTATAATAATATTCTGCAATAATATCTTTAAACGGAGAAAATTTTATATCAAAAATTACTATGTACGGCAGTAGTCGCGAACCATGAAGGAATTATAAAAATTTTTACTATGTTTTTCATACGTGAAATATAGTAAAAATTTTCGGTCTGCGGTTACTGCCGTACATAGTAACTTTTTGATATAAAATTTTCTCCGTGTATTTTTATAATATGTAATTTGACAACCAATCACAATTATTTTTTACTGTCCATATGTGCAAATTTTTTTTTAAGATTGGAGGCATAAATTTATATATTTTTTTTAATTTAGATATTTTATATACAAATATATTAACACGGTTTGTGCCGCGCTGATTTTATGTGACTGTTCATTTATGTTGTAAATTTTATTATATATTTTTATAATTATAATCTTATTATATAAGATTATTATATAAGATTATTATATTAATTAGATTATAATTATAAAAAGCGATTATAATTATCAGATTATAATTATCAAAAGAGAAGGTATAATATACATGGCTTTAACAAAAGTTCAGCGTGAGTGACCGATGACACAGAGCACGAAACACGTTTTAATATACTTTTTATAAGTCTATGAATTTTTTTCATATTATAAACATATTTAATTGATTATGTATATATTATTCATATCACTCACTTCGCACTCGTTATATCTTTCTTGACGTTGCACTGCAAACTCCTCAAGAAGATAATAGGCAGATTTAGAATGAGGATGCTTTGCCAATTCTCCATCCAAAATTTGATCTTTGAAATGTACAAGTGTGTTTTTTCCCCCAGGATGATAACTCAAAAAATTACGAATATTATAAACACGATCGCGATGTTTGACAAGAAATTCTGTCGAATTTTTACTCCGCGTCATGCTATTACGACGATAACTTTCCGTTTCATTTACGCAAACTGCACTTCCATTTTTTATTTTAAGATTATTCATATTCACACTCTCTAAATGAAACGTGTCATCAAAGTTTTTATCTTGATGAACACTCATTCTCACCATAAAACTGAAAAATGACTAATCACGAGTGCCTCATAGACAATTTGTTGCGAACCGTGCACTCCGATACATCCTACTAAATGACCGACGTTATGTGACTTGGTAATTTACTAAAGCAGATAAGATTTTACCGTTAATGTTACGTAGGAGGGCTCGTTGATCATATTACGACTCATAAACAACGATATCGCAATGAATATGGTCTCGTAGCGATTATCAAGGCTAGTATTTGCACGTACTTAATGAAAGATATGAAATATCGGTGAACTGTTTATGTAATCTATCTAAATATTCGTATCTAGTATATTGAAAACTTGTATTTCAACAGTTATACATTCTTTAAAAAATATGAAAAAGATAACAGTTATAGTTTTACACCTTTCAATTGAATATTAATTAATTTTTATGTTATAATTCGTAACTGATAAAATTTTTACAAGATTATATCGAATTTATCAAAAAATACGTATCAAAAGTTTTTGACAAAGAAAACACTAAATAACAACGTAATTTTCGGCAATAAATAAGCTTTTATTTAAACGCTTTGACTCTTGTGTACACTGTGTCCTAGTAAACGTCTAAGTTTCAGTCGCTAAAAGTACCGCGACAATGCTCAAGAACAAGTACACTTGCGATTTGAGCAATCGCGCTACTAAGAAACGTACATAGTGTGTCGAGCAATAAAATACAATCGGAAGTATTCGCTTACTATCAAAATTGATCTCTTTGGGCTAAAATAATTGCTATCACGCATAAACCTAATGAACAAAAGTATAATACTCGCTTTTTTTTCCTTAATATTTACGCATAACTTAAGAAATTATCGCATGAGACAGAAATCTCCTTTCCGACGAGGAGTGCATGCAACTGATTTTGTTAGCAGTTTAAGATAGAACTATCCAACATTAATTATATCAATTATAACTATGTACATATATCACTTCGAGGAATTACCGAGCGCATCGGACACAAACGTTTAAGCGAAACTTGAAATTTATCAATACCGAAAGAAAGAGAATAAGCATGTTTTTTGTATTTAACGGTGCCATTTAATCTTTATTTAATAAGAATATGGATCAAAAGACGTATTTTAAGTCTTTAGTTAAATCGTTAATACGGTTTTGAAGAATTGACATACACGCGTAGTTTAATCTGAGAAAAAAGAATGTGGTATGAGAGGATCCGGAACGATCTTTTAACTATTTGTTCTTTTTTTCTTATAAACACGATCTGGAAGGCAAAGTTTAAGTCTAGTTCAAGTCTAAGAGACTCCACATACCTTTGTTGAGGATTAATAGGGCCACATCGATCTTTTTGATTCAAAGCTACATCTTGAATTTTCAAAACTGTCACCCTGTTTCCCAAAATAAAAATATTCCTTGATTTTTGAAAAACAAAAATATTTTACGATTTTCTTTTCTCGCAAAGAACAAACAAAAAGTTTTTGATGGAGATAATTTGTTGTGTTCTTTTATAATGAGGAAGCATATTCTCTCCTGCATCTGTTTATTTTCTAACAATATTCGCATGTTTTCAGTGAAATTAATTAACGTTTTCAATAATTCATTACATTATAATTATGTCCAAACAGCAAGTTTTGTACATCATTGTCATTCTACCAAATATCTGCTTCTTTGATTACGATAAAATCAAAGAGTTACGAAACAAATTAAAAGAAAAGGAGAATTTGATTCGATACTTCGTACAATAAATACATTAGGTCTGTTCTTTATAGCTGAACTGGCTGTACTAGTTCAGAGTTAATCTTTTTCCCTCCACATTAGAAGGAGAAAGATAAACTCTGAACTAGTGCAGCCAGTTCAGCTATAAAAAACAGACCTATTGTCGTATGTAACGTGCGCTGTATATAAAACGATTTTTAAAACTAAATTGCCGGCTAATAGTACAGAAATAACGCATTTTGCGCAACTTTTCACGTGGGATGATGTAGTATGACCTCAAACGGCATGACATCACAAAATGTAAATAGGCGGAATAATGACGTTTCAGGAAAATTTACTTTTGCCACGCCATATGTGTTTTACATAGAGCCGGCCCCTTCGACGAGCATTATCGCTTATCAGTGTAATTCATGCATCGAACAGAAACGTAGTTTGCACATTGTCCGCTTACGTTTGCGCTTGAACGACTAGTCTCTAAGTTTGTATTCCTCACGCACGGAGGAAAAGACATGCGCTTTTACGTAGAAAAGAGGGAAGAAAATAAGTAGAGAATACGAGATGTCGTTTACTATCCTAAGCGATTCAAAAAATAGGTACTTCACGAGGTATTAATTTAGATGCGGTTTTGGCATAACGCCAAGTTATTATTTACAATGGCACACGCGTTACGTTTCATCGAATTCGTAATGTCATTAATATGATAATATATTCTGATCGCTTCTATTTTACATACGCGTTATCCTTCCTCGCGCGCCTTTCGACGCTTGTACAGTACGGACCATTAATGTCGCCGGTGTTCGCGTAAATCTATATTACTGTACACGTTTTCGCTCACTCGTGCGGGTTGATCGATCTCGGTTTAAACTATATACAATATAAATAAGACAGGATGATCGACAGCGACGTTTACGGGCTAGGATCGTGACGCACTCGCGAAAGGACATTTCGCGAAATTTGCACAGCGAAAGGCGAGTTTCCGGATCGCCTATTCTTTATTATTGACATTACGGTTATTCGACCGGCATACACCGGTACAACATCACATTATCTTACGGACGAAAACTTAGAGAGTGAAATTTGACGCACCGACCACTCGTTGATCACCTCAGCGCGTAGCGCTTTAATACTTCCGTAGCCAAAATAGCTGGACCCGCCAAATAACGTACTTACGCTCAACGTTTCTCCGCGAGATGCTATCTTTTTACGAAGATAAAACGAAACATCCTACGAAAATTTCGTATTTGCAAAGACAGCACGAAATACATGCATCACAATGCCAAAGTGCATTCTGCCAATATATTTTGCACCGTACTGTACTTTTTCAAAATGTCATTTTCATATAATGGCACCGCGTGACGCTTTGTATTTCTTGTTTTTGCCAACGAAAGCAGTAAAATGACGCATCGCTATGACATTTAATAATTGTTAAATTAACAATACATCATCGCAGCTTTAACACGCGCGCACGATAGCCGCGTGTTCGAATAAAAGTTAAAAATAAAATTCAAGCCAATTTTAGAGCCTAAGATAATGATTGTTCCGCGAAACATAATCTAATTATTTACTAATTAAAAATGTAATTTACATATATTTGACGTAATTATTTGCCGAACTTAGCGCCGCTCGTACGATTAAATAATGCAGATTTGGTCGACCTTGTCTCCATCGCTCCAAACTTTCCATGTTAAAAAATGCTAAACCAACAAATTTTTTTAAAACCAAACTCATTATATTTGTAATATGTAAATATTTTAATTTGGAATAAATATGAATTAATATATTGTCTCTGAATATTTGAAAAACATTTTAAAAGCGCTTAAAATATTTTTATAGTGAAATTGAAAAATGGCATTAATTTATTTAGTATCTGAAATCAATTCTTTTGGAGCCAAAGTCGATCAATTCTGAACTACATTGACACGCGAAGGGTAGAACCTCGGAGGAATCGAAAATACATATTTGATCGGGGCCGTGTATAGAGCAGTAAACAAAATCGACTACGTTTGACTAACGACTCGACTACGTTCAATTTTATTGTCTAGTCTCTCCGACGTCTCACTCATTGGAAAGTTTAAACTACTTAAAACGGAAGTTGCACTGTACAACTAAAATAGAATTAACACGGACGAAATCAACGATCCAGCGTGTGATCGTCTTCGCACCACGCGGGCCTACAAAGCCAGAACGTTCTATTCTCCTCGCTATATTTTTTTATCCACTATTTATCCGCTATCTATCCATCTGATCCACGCGATTTCGCCCGGGAGCGTACAACGGTAAAGCTCGAGCATGAACCGCTGCGACACAATTAATCGTTTCTCGCGCTACACCGCTAAAAGGTATTCCGTATAATATATTGCTTTTATCGGCGCTTCTATTCGACAGATTGAGCTTAATTCATGATGATTTCATCCTGTACCTAATGCGAAGATTTACGTATATACACGAAAAGATCGGTCAACACGCGCTACTTTTCGAACAAGTGAACAACGAACGAACAACTAATGCGAATCTTTGCTGCTTTTAAACGTCGGAAGATATGTAAATCATATCGAATGCAAATAAAACATTCATTAGTGTTTGATTTGTATTTCAATCCGATTCGGTCATGAAACAGCTTCGAGGAAAATTTAAAAAATAAATTTAAGTTTTCGCATTTGTTGCTCGTTTGTTTGCTCGATATATTCCATCTAAGGACGCACGGCCCCGACATTTTAGTGATTGTAAATATACAAAGACTACATTTAAAAAAAATTTGTATGAAAAATCTATATACGCACATTTTTTACAAAGCACCAATTTTTTTTTTAATTCGAAATTGTTATATCAAAAAAGATATTTTTATGCAATTAAAAATAAAGTTTCTGAAAATTATAAAAATATATTCGTGCAAATAATTGTTTCAAAACATAATTCTATAAGTTTTCGCCAACTAATAATTGATATTGTAAGTATCTACATACGTATAGCGTATAATACATACTGCTACATAAAATCGAAATACTTGTTTACACAAATACTGATCATAATTTAAAACGTCAATATATGGTCTTTGTATATGTGTAACCACTGCCGAAAACTAACCTCGTACACTCGGTACAACTCACAAACGAACGGAAGGAGTCACGTCGATTATGTACTTCTATAGTTTTTCGCTTCCATCTTGAAACCTCTACCCTTCATCGCTTTATTGGCCATTTTACTCATAGACGGCGCGACATTATCATCGTCATCGCTATTGATATCATCCTCATCCTCTTCCGGGAAATCCTCGAGTCGATCGGGATATTCGTCAAGCTGAAAATTGAAAAATTAATAATATTAGATATAGAATCGTGGCAGGTTAGCTAAGAAAAGTATAAGAGGCTACGATCTTCATTTCTAATACGAGGAAGTAAAAATATTGCACTTTGATGAAAAGAAGTCATTATTAGTAAAAGTTGGGAAAACGGTATACTTTCACCATTAACGATTTTGATAACTTTAATTAAAAATTATTTCAACTTGAATCGTCAAGATGTATAGATCGTAGTCTCGATGAGAATCGAAAGGTTCAGTATTGTAAGTGATCTGTGCTTTGAATAAACTTCTGTTAAGATTCCTCTCCCACACGCACCACGTGGGAATTGATAAATAAATAGCTCGGAAGCAGAAGCTATTTATGAACTTTTGACTTCCGCGAGTCACAAATTTTTAGCATGTGACCGAAGACTTAAGAATAGCTCTTACTTTCGAACTATTTGTTTTCTCATTTCTCATTTTGCGGTGGCGAGAAGGTGAACTTGAAGGAATTTAAGATGATCTATATTATCGCGCACGTGTAGTCGACAAACCACTTTTAATTCTCAACCGATCAATTGTACTGTCCGATACATACATGAACATTTCTTCATTCCTGGTGAGGCATAACATGAATCTTGATGATGGATGAATTGTGGAGATTCATGTTTGACATGCTAATCAGACCAAACCTCGGGACATACTTACCGAAAGCAAGCATGCTGACTCATCGCATTAATAAAGTTTTTTACTTGATTTTTTATAGCAACCGTTCGATATGGATTTATTATAACAATTTTATCTAATTTTATCTAATGTGCAAAAATTAATTTTTATAGTTTTTATTGATTGTTTAAATTTTACTGATTTGGGGATATAAAATTGAATTAATATACAAATATCTGATAAACAGAATATTTTAAATATAATATAAAATATTATAGATGTATATTTAACGCTATCATTTATGAATTTTTTGTTTGAAAAAAATATTTCTATTATTGAATATTTATTTGAAAGATCTAACAATAAATAAACATGCATTTTATCAAACGATGAGATGATATTCTGCTATGAATAGTGTACATATATATCAGATTCGTTTAACGATATCGACGTCGTATTCTTCCATTATCAACTCGTGCAATCAATTAACTGCGACGTTCCGTATCACTTGATCGCGCAAATGGAAAAGGCAGAGAGCCGTCGAGCAGAGCCGCGTGATGCTGCGCGTACGCTGACACCGTGTACGTGTGACGATGAATGCGCTAGGAGTAACATTCAGAGGATGCATTCTCAAAAGATACTTGATACTGCGAACTCACGTGTAACGTAGCTACGGGGATATCGAGTAATCGATGTTACCACAGACAGAATGGATGCTTACCTACAACTGCAGATTGTACGTTCAAATGTGAATCACCTAAACAACATGCTTAATTGGCTCACTATGAGAAACAGTTAGCGCCATAAGGAAATTACAGGATCGACATTAAGCGACTCTCTTCAATCGCGCGCCCACGATAAAACGTTAATAGTACTCTTCAGCCCGTGGTGTGCTAATTACGTCGCCACTCTGTTTAGAGCTACATAACGTGGGAGGAACAACGCTATTTGTTCGGGATAATTATTTTAAGAAGACGGAACAACGCTACTCGTTCAAGACAATTATTTTAACGGGGAAGGCAACGTGCGTTCGTATAATTTGTACGTCAAATAAATAGACCGTTTGTCGCGAACTTTACACACATTCCATCACAAACGACCACAAGCTACAACGTTAGTTTTACGGATATTTTTCTCCCGCGACTCTTTTTTTTTTACCACACAAGTTCCACAATGGTCATAAATTATCAGGGGTCTCTACATGTAAATACACGTGGCTACGATCAAAAGGACAAGCTGTACTCACGTCGACATCATTCATCATTTCTTTGGTGGAAACAGTTGTGTCTATACGACGTATGCTTCCTTGATGTATGTCCACATCGAGTTTCACCAATTGGAATCGCCGTAGGAGAAAAACAATCGGGATCGGCGCGATACCCGCGAAAATAATGACCGCAGCGATGCCCAGCACCCAGCTGGGATAATTCGTGTATTCTGTCGCACCCTAAAAGTATGGAAAAAATATTATTTAAAAGCACTTAATTACGAAATACTCACTCGCTTGATGTACAATAATATCATACCAATGTTGCATTCCATGCTGAATATTGTGGTTTCTTAATGAACATGGAAGCGATGCTAGACACGAGAATTCCAACCATTATAATGGGGGCGAGAAATCGCCACGTGATCTGCCAATAAGCCCCTGGCCTATATCCGGTCATCTCCTCGATGTCTTTCGTGAATCTGCGGAGCATTCGCGCGATTATTAATGAGTTGCGTTTGGAAGAGAGGAATTATTTCAACTTACTTTTCATGGCCGTACACGAAGACCACGGAGATCATCTCCATGAGCGCGACCATGACAAGACCGATGGTACCTGCGAAGCTGTCGAACATCTTCAGCCAGTACTCTCCGGCACCGGTGCAGAAGATAAGCCCGACGAAAAAGCACACGACGCAAACGACTCCTAAAACCGCAAATCAGACGATAAAAATTATGCAACATTGTATGTCGAAGTTTTTTTCACGGACATCGGTGGACCGCAATTGCACTCACCCGTCATGTATTGCTTTTTTATTCTTTTGAAAAGATCTATGTCGAAGATTACGCACAGCATGCCTTCGAGTATTCCGATTTGCGAGCCCAGACCAAGGGCGAGAAGCATGAGGAAGAAGATGCAAGACCAGAACGGCGCGCCCGGCAGCTCCACGATCGCCTGTGTAAATATGATGAAAGCCAGCCCGGTACCCTCGGCGGCCTGAAAGCGGTACACTTAATTATTTCACAAATACATGGCCGACAGATGCATGGAATTGCCGTTACTCACGCTGTTCAGTTCCTCGGCGAGACTACACGGTCTCATTGTGAAGTTCACTGCCGAAGAGTTGAAGGTCTTCATAAAGCGTTCGTAGTCCTCGAGGGCGAACGGCATGGTGCTATTCAAGAGCCCATTATGTACCAGGGTGTCCCTCGCGCTAAAATAAAAGCGATTTAACATATCTCTTCTGCGTCCCTCTGTTCTTCGTCGTACCAACGATTAGCATATCCCGTTCTATTACGACTCAGTCCCTCCCGTTTCTCTAAATACTCGGTTGTCTGTCTTTTACATTTTAATATTTTAATTAAATCACATTCCGATGAATGCAGATTCATATGCATTTTAATAATGTATAACTGATTCGATTTTGATTTAACTCCGCGGAGTTATCAACGTAAACTGTTATACACACGATGTGGCTGATTTTTACAATTGAATTTGAGAATTTGATTAACGTGACTTATTACACGCTAATGTAATAACTGATAAAAGCGACGTGTCTGTCGAGCGAAAGCGCCGATAATTATCATAGCCGTTTAAAAATACATCCTGCAGCCGTGGATGATTCTTTTCTCACTACCCTCTTCGCGTTGGCGAATTTAGAAACGATGGCCGCGCTTGCGGTCGCATTACCTGACAACGCACTTCTCCACGTTTGACATTGCCTTGAACCCCAAAATGGCGAAAATGACAACGCTCGCGTAAATGGCAGTAAACGCGTTGCACACGCTCACCAGGATCACGTCCCGAACGCAGTTGTTATTCGGAGTGTTGTAGCTGCCGAACGCGATCAGGGAACCGAACGCCAGCCCGAAGCTATAGAAGACCTGAGTCGCCGCATCAAGCCAGACCGTAGGTTCCAACAGTTTCTCGACCTTGAACGAAGGAAGCAAATGTCATAATATCGTAACGTCCAATGTCCGGCGTTTCGCATCGCTTTTTCCGATAAGCCCAACCCAGATCGAGATTGATCGTCACCTTCGGTGTGTACATGTGCGCCAGTCCGGCGCTCGCGCCTTTCAACGTTATCCCGCGAATGAAAAAGATGGTCAGCACGAGATACGGGAACATGGACGTAAAGTATACCACCTGAAAGAACGATGCCATTTAGATATCAGTGAGTTGATTTTATCAACATGATGAATCGTAATAATAATTAAGGTTGACGAAGTCGAAATGAAATTTCGAGTGAGATAACATCTTACTTTGCCGGACGATTGTATTCCCTTCATTACGATGAAGAAGACGACGATCCAGCTGAGCAAGAGGCAAAGTACGATCCACCACTTGAGACCTTGGCCGTCCTCGATCGACGGTGCCGCGTCCAGGGTAACCCTGTACCAAAAATATGCGGTCTCCGAACTCTTGGCACATTCCTCGATCACTTCCCCGTTCTTTTCGGGGCACGTTGCCCACGGCAGTGATTGCTAAATTGCGCCGAAATATGCAAATAGATCATCAATAGTTGCTTTAACGAGCATCGCTTCGCAAAAGCCGAAGTGGCACTTTGAGTACTGAACTGAAAGCCCTATATTGCAAAATTTACGCGCATGCTATGCAGCTTATGCAAACGATGCAATAACATTTAATAATGTTTAGTGATTGCGCAATATACATGGTATTAAATATTAAATACTTACACCAAAATTGATCGTGACAGCCTAATCGAAAACATGAAAAGAAAAATGAATATTATCAACGTGCTGCATATTTATAACAAATACCGATAATATTTACCGACAACGCCATTAATCATTACAGTCGAGTACTTTGTATTAACTGTCGCAATGATTGAAAGCAGCATTACTCTTTATCGCTTGAAAAGCTTTAATTTTCAATTAAAATTTTTTTCATTTAACATTTCCGACAAAAATATGTTATTGATAAATTTTAAACACTTTGTATCAATTATAAACGAGCCCTTCATTATTCTATTTAAGTTTAAATTAGCACAATGGAAGGGGCGAAGTTACTTAAGATGTCTCGACGCAGATTACGGTGGCGACAATCGGTGCTGTGAACCTTATCGATCTGCTTACCCCGAGCGAGTTGAAGAGGTAGTAGAAGCACCAGGTAATAATTACGTTGTAGTAAAGCGCGACGAAAAAAGTAACTATACAAGACGCGATTCCTATGCCGCCTAACCAAGGGTGTATAGTGTTCCAAACACCCAGAGCACCCTGCCGCATACGTTGCCCGAGGCCCAGCTCAATCAGAAAGAGGGGTACACCCTCTAGGATGAGCATCACAAAAAAAGGGATGAGGAAGGCACCTAAAAATACGCAGGCAAATGTCAGAATTTGTAATTTCAAGCTTCCACGAATATATTCGACGTTAAATATTGAAATGTCGCAAAAATCACAACGTATATTTAATTAAAGAACGGATTACGCAATATTGTAAAATAGAAAAATAACTTAAACAGAATATGAATTTTGCTGATATACACATTCAAAGATATGTCGTATTTAAAAATTATTGTTACGTGATTATTATAATTTTATATTAGAGATTGCATAAATTATGATTTTTAAATATCTTTCTTAGTTTGCATACCAGCGAAGCTAGTGTTTTGTTCCAGATATTTTCCTGTTTTATCAGATTACGTCATTCGCTTTTTTTGCATGCCAGTTCCTAATACGTCGCTCTCTTTCTCTCTCTTTCTCTCTCTCTCTCTCTCTCTCTCTTTCTCTCTCTTTCTGTCTTTAGATGTCTAGTTTTGCGGCGGTAGCTGGAACGCCTTGTATTGATCGAGTAACCTAAGTCCTAACCCGTTCAACCACTCCACTAATCCGACAATTTTTTTTTGATATTTACACACACGAATCAAAGAAAAAAATCACGTGCTAAGAAACATTAGCGTACCCTTTTCGACAAAAAAAAATCATATAAAATTCTAAAATAGAAAATTTACAGAAACGCTATTAATTTCAACGGTTGATAATTTATATCTAATCATAAAAAATATTTTATATCTAGACATTGATGTTGGCAGCAGCAAAAAAGAGTTATGAGAGTTGAAAAAGTAAAACAAAGTAAATGAAATTGATACAAGTGCAAGAGTAAATATCGACCACGATCACAGCTCTTTACTTGTGAACTTTGCGATAACATCAGTGGCAGTCGATATTGTATGTCGTTCACCATGTTAGTGGCTCGTAACGCAGGTTCTCTGATTAAAGTCGCATTACGGTAGGGTCGCGAAGCACAGCAGCAGATGTTAGACCGTCGCGTGCTTTCCGTTACACAGTGGTATGGATCGATCGATAGGCGTTCAGCGACGCGTCGCGCCGGGACGCGAACGCGACGCGGACAGCGCAACGAGGAAATTTCCATTGAAAGCCGAGGCTTTGACTCGTTTGGTCTCAAAGCGTGTGTGTATTCCGCGAATAAAAATCACAAAATTCAATCGTCGACCGCGGCCTGTAATTACGCGCAATTTTCTCGCCGGTTATAGTTGGTACGCAATTTGATATTGATCAAAAAATTAACCCTTTTATTGCCTAATGGAGCAGAGTTTACCAGTTTTTATTATGCTTAATCTAACGTACTTAATGTAGAGGTTTACTTTTTTTAATTGTTTTTAATTCATATTTAAAAAAAACTATATTTAGGACGATTTAAAAATAAACTCTTTCGCGTATATTGCGCCTTAAATCGAAATCAGCAAAATCGCGCCGGTATTTAATTTTGGCTCTCGCAATAAATTATAAGTGGGGCGTCTGGTACTTTTAGGCAAAAGTATTACCTATAGCATGAGGTAGGCGTGAGAGCGGTAATCTGGTAACGGAAGCACAATCTGCGCAGTTGCTGGATGGTAACCGATATGATTTCGGAGTTTGTATAAACTCTGGCGTCATGAGGCCACACGCTAAGGGCCAACCGTGCACTTCTCGTGACCTACCTTCACGAAAGCATACGTATGTTAAATAGCAATTCGTTTCTCGCGATAACAAAACGCTTCTGATAAGAAAACGCCGTTGATAAGAAAATACTCCTGTTACGAAATTGCTCAGCTTGAAATAAATTCGCAAGCGAAATTTTATGCGTTAAACGAGCGGGTATTTTCCATCCGAGAAGTTCACACCCATAAAATCTGCCCAGGTTGCAACGTACGCATATAATACTCATATTTCATGCGATACTAAACAAAATGCTACGTCGCTGATATGTATATGTCTAGCATTAGCCGTTGGTCAACCTTTCACGTCAGCTTAAATTAAATTCAGATGAAACCTTGAACCAACTTTATCTTGACGAATAGCAGATATCTCTTCCGTATTGATTTTGTATTATTTTGTTTCATTTATCGCGATGTTCCGTCTTTTTAATAATCACGCGAATTTTAATGGAATGTTATCACTCTTATTATAATAGTTGATGAAGCGTTTGTACGGAAAGACGACAATGTTCTCAACTTCGACCCCTAATATTTTCCACAATATTAATCTTTATCCGAACAACGCGACCACTATCGCACTAATTACGTTTTTCTAAAGGGAGATTAATCCTTCGCTCGGATAGCGAAAAAATCTATTTATATAGACCGTAGTCAAGTATACTTTTAAATATATACAGTATATTTTCCACACAAAAAATATTACGCTACACTTGCGTCACGTTGCTAGCATAAATTTTTTATTAAATGGGAAAATTAATTTAATTCATCTATACAGTGTGCAGTGTTGTTTTCACAAGAATAAATAAAAACCACGAAATTCATAAATATTAAGGATTAATAGTGTAAAATTTGAAAATGTCAAAAATCGTAACATATCATCGTGTTTTAAAGATAGAAATAGGTCACAAAAAATAGATTCGAACGGAACTGCAGAGTTAATGAAAACTGAATGAATCGCACAAAGCCGAGCCATTCGTCATCGCATAAATTATAAGCCACTAAGCGCGTTCTGGCGTATTAATAGTATTTCTGCTGCAAGAGAATTTTATTTTTTTATATTTATATATATATATTGGATATATGCAAGAAAAAGAGAAAAATGAGCAATTACAATTTTTACAAGTAAAGTAAAAAATTAATACAATATTGTAAAAGTTTTATAATATTCGAGCTGCTGAGTGCATTAGTTATCGAAATTTGGCCAATGAAAAAGAGGGTATGCCTTCAAGAACGCACGGAATATTTCTTAGCAGTTATATTTAACGTGTGCGTGGGACTGTGGGATACCTGAAAATAGTCGTTGACTAGTATAGTTAGCTGTACGCTATACCGGCTCCACTGCCCTCGTATCGAGCAACCTTGTCCCTGCTCTTCTTCGCTTTACATCCGATGTCGGCTGTAAGTTGCAAGAGCTATTTTCAATGTTGCGCGCAATTTTATCACGTATCGTACCGAATCATACACGCGTCAACGCTCCTCACGTACCGAATGACTCGAAATAAATAAATAAAGTCAGATAAAGTGTTTCGCACTTCTCGAAATCTAACGTTTATTCCAAATTTTTTACATATTTGCGAAAAGAAAATTAAATCTGGAAAACTGATGATAAAATAAATGAAAAGAAACTAATTTCCTCCAATTTTAATATTAAAGTTCTCAGGGATTTTATTTTATTAATATATTTAATATACAGAAATTCACAACGAAGCCAATTTCTAGTTTCGAAAATCGGAAATTCGTAATTTCACAAAACAGTATAAATTTGTATAAAAATTTTTTTTAATTTACTTGTTTTCGTTGATATCGAACAAATATGTTTATACTACTTGCAAGTAGTATAAACGTTGCCGATGCTATTCTATAACGTATAAAATATGAGAACATGAGGAAAAAAAATATTTCTATCTTGACATCACTATGGATGCTGTGTGAGGGATGATCTATCTATACACGTTCATATGTGAGAAACTGGAGTTCACCTAGCTAACCACTGACACGCACATAGTTCAAGAACACCTCGAGGTGTCGCCTGCACGAAGGTCGCAAAAATAAAAACACACTTAGCTTACCAGTATTATCACAGGCGACATGCGTATTATAAATTAATATATAAATAAAACTTGGTCTACATATTTAAATCTTTAGTCATAACTTTCTCGTTTAATATTCTCGTTTAATGTATCTGGCACACAATTTGCACGTTCGTCGTTATATTGCGCGTCGCAGTGTCGCGATTGTCCTAACCGGCACTATTAATACTCACCACCTCCGTTCTGTTGGCACAGATAGGGAAACCTCCAGATATTGCCCAGACCCACGCTGTACCCGATAATACTGAGGAAGAATTGCATTTTCCCGCTCCATGCCGCTCTGTTCTCATTCGCCTCCGGGCCGTCCGCGACATTTTGACTTTCCGCCACGATCGTCACGTTCTGGAGTTGGCGGTTTTCGTTCAACGGTGCCAACTCGTGCCCATTTCTCGCGGTCTCGGTCTTGACTACCATTCTCCCGTGGGGTCCCGAAGGGTATACAAAGAATCGATCACCGCGAAAACAGTGTACTTAAATGAGACTTTTTGCACAGTCGGTGTTTATTTGTCCCACGAACCCACGTGTCACCTCCGCTTCCTGCTGTCTGTTTATTTCCTTTCCCGCTTTATGTACACTGACTCGTTGCTCGGATTCTTCTCTGTCCTTCTCGTTCCCGACACGATTCGACAAAAGCACGCGTGTCCTCGTAAAGTCGCGGGTATTTTTCTTTCTCACCACTGTCGCTGTTACACCGTCGCGTCGCGAAATCGATCGATTTCGCGATAATAACAGTCGGCGGTGAACAGCGAATGTGCAACAACAACGGGGGATTAACAATAGTCTTAATAGTCTTAACAACAATATAACAATAACAGCAGTATAAGAGTAGTTATCTTCTCACTATTTTATCGCAATATTAACAGTGCTTCACGCCGTCGTGTAAAAATACTGAGATCGGTCCTTCCCGCGAGCAGCAACCGACGACAATCCGCTCTCGCTAGTATTATGTGTACTCTTCTCGGCGAACAAAAGGAAATAGTCTTTATATCTGAGTCTCGGCTGTCCTTCTTCGATTCGTGTGTGTTTCGATGATACTTCTTATTGACTGTTTGCGGACGCATACGCGCGACCGCGTAGGAACGGCTTGCGGGGCGGAGAGAGTGCGAGGGTATGCAAAAGGATACGTCAAAGATGAGTCAGGATTTATTTCGCGAGACGGAGAGGGGTTTTGAGGGTTGACCCAATAAAAATCGAGCGCCGGGTTACGCGACGTTACGAAGGAATCCGCGACCTCCGGTCACGTGAGCTGTTAAAGGATATCGACGCGCAGAGGATACGCGGAGTTAGCACGCGCCACCTGACATTGATGGAAGAAGCGAGGGGTTTGCACCTTGCGTTACGTTTGGAAGCAATCGTAGCGTGAAGAACAGAGTGGGAACAGGCGAATGAAAGTACGCTTGTCGTTAATAGCTACCGTCGGGACGAAATATCGATCGATCCTCCGCGCGGAAGCGAGATATCTAAATGAGGGGGAGAGAGACAGAGCGGAGGAGAAAGAGAGAGACGAAAAGTCGGAAAGCAGAACAAAATGAGAGAAACAAGGACGAGAGGAGGAGATTTAATTTCTGGCTTCTCGGAGCAGCTGATGATGTGATTATTTGCAATCTGAAATAGCTCGATTTGCGCGGAAGGATTATTCTCGTCAGCCTTTGATTGAGTGCCTCTTCGGTTTCAGCCAAAATCAACGTTGGCAATCTTTCTAACTCATGTGGTCGAACTGCTTTTAAGTCGCTGCCGTGTAATTGGAAATCGGTACGATTGGAAATCACGAGTTCAGCATCATAGTTGGTCTCCCTCGGCTCGACTCTGCGCGCGAGGAAGACGTGATCGTCGACGTTAACGTTGCGCTTTTCGTCGTCGTCGTCGTCGTCCTCGTCGTTGTCTCGGATTCGCCACGGCACAGAGAGTCGATCGAAATAATCACAATCTCAGCGAAAGCTTGTTACTTAAACTCGATAGTCTTCGGACGTGTCGGACCGACGTTGCAGCGGACGCACATCTGTCGTTGCAGAGCGAAATCTCCGGAGGATTTGGTACCCATGTGTACCACTTCTCCGCCCCCGAGTCTCGCCTCCGTTGCTCCGCGTTCTTCGTTGTTCTATGTTATCGTCAGCAGAAAGGCGAGTAGCGCGGACACCGCGAGCCCGCGTCGAATTTCGCAGTGTCGGTGGCACGGTGAATATGCGTCTTGTTCGAACGTCGATATCGGACTGAGCTGCCGCTGGTGCGCGACGATGTGCGCGAGGGAACGTACCTACGGAACGAGAACCTCTGGAGCGACATCGACGTCTGTTCAGCCCGACGAAGGTTTGTTCTACCGGTGGTTCGCTTCCCCGATTGGCCGAGGTAAATTGTGCACGTACGCGCAAACGCGCCGGCCGGCCGACGGTTTTAAAAGGGTGGAGAGCCGGGTGGCGGCGAAACGAGCGTTGTTATCTTGTTACATCGCCGAGCGGAAAGATAACGCGAAAAAGGGGTGGGAAAAATTCGAGACGCGTAATCCGAGATTAGCGAGACGAAAATTAACAAACCATTCTTTAATAAAAAAGTATTAAATTGATCGGTTACTATCAATCCTTGATAGCTCGCAAATCCCGCCTGATAATCTTGTCTTATCGTAAACTTTTAACAAGTGTCGTCGGAAAAAAAATTGCGAACGCAATGTAAATTTAGAGATTAATTCAATATCCGTCGGCTTGCGTCACAACGTGTTTGATCGAAAGATTTCGCTAGCTATGCGTACACATTCTCATTGACCTTTTAATATAAATTCAAAATATTTCTCTCTATTGTTTACATTTCTGACACAGTTGATCTGGACTTTGTCGGTCTTGACTCGGAGTGACGTGGGTAGTTCAAACTGACAAACTGGCGTCATCGATCGCATTGTTGTTTCGCGAGGGGTAGAGATCTGCTCGGCGGTTGTGCCGCTTCCCACGCCGTTCCCGTCGCAACCGCTTCGATCGAGAGATTTCTCAGCATCCTTGTAACAGCTTAGATAGCAGATCTTATCCCTCATCCGTGCCACTCCACTATCCACTCGAGGGGAAGAAGCAATTTTCGCTGGGATGATTATTTAGCAAAGATCCTTAAGTACTAAGGTCTAACTAAGATCCTCAAATATTTTAGTTAGAGGCAGCGTCAAGTCAGAACGAACGAAATAAATCCAATAGATTTTCCATCTATTTCCAAACCAACATTCTCTGAGCTGTATAAACTCGTCCTTTTATCCTTCTTTCGTCTCAGAAAAATACATTACTTTTTCCATCTTATTTTTCTTTTAAATTCTCGGTATGACGTCATTGTTCAAAGTGGGTGGCGATCACCCCGTGACGTCATTCGGAGCTATAGCTATTGTCTCTAGAAGACGTCGTAACATTTCGCGGGATCCGCCTGAACTCTCTATGTACATGTACATGTACGTACGAACATATACATATATACGAAGAGCGGGGTCAGTCAGTAGCTTCGCCGTGTTACGTAACTATTCACATAACCTTTTGACCGTGTTCTCGAGTTTTTCACTCTTCACCGCTCATATATCATTGTTTACCTGATTTGCATCGAATAGCATTCATGGATGTATTCATAATTGTATTGGATGCACAGCAGAAGCGACCCTCGTGACGTTTTATTGAATTGGGTTTATACATTGACCTCTTATCTCATGGGACGTCTATCACTAAAATCGCTTTTAGCAAACAATAGCGACCATTAACTTAATTCTTTGTCTAACTATTTCAGGAAGTAAACCAGAAATCCGCTGATATATCCCTTCTCCGTAAAGTCAATCTTATCGGCGGAAACCCAATATCTTTTATGCCAAAATATCTGTGCTGATTGTGACAAATTACGTCGCCGAAATGTCGTCAGCAGTACTTGCATAATATCGCGTAAATCTTAGAAGCAATTTTATGAATACAAAACTTTTGACAAATCTTTAGCCATTGTACCAAGAAAAAATATATTAACAAATATATCTTTGTCGAATTAATCAATTATATATTCAATCTATTTCAATAATTCTATAAAAATGATACATATTTTATAGGTAAAAATGTAACACGCATATCAGTAAGCCATTCAATCATGCTATCTTCTATGGTATGAAGATACCAAACTACTATTGACAACTTACTGATGTGGCTGTATATTTCATTTTTAGCAACCTTTTTTATAGATTTATTGAAGTAAATTTAATAAATCAAATACTGCGCGATTACATTTTTTAAATGCACTATTTATTTTCAGAGCTTTAATAAAATTGGATACGAGAAACTTCTTAACAATTCAAAATCGAAAAACAAAATACGTGCTTGCGTCATAGAATATTTTACAATAGTTTATGTTTGCATAATTTGTCTGAACTATTATTATTGGTAATTATATCATAAGCAGTAATTATATCGTAAGCATAAACTTAGACTATATTTTTATCTTGTCACAAAAGATTTCGAAAAAAACATAGTAAAAAAATATTATTCAGTTCGGAACAGAATTATACAATACGTAGCGATATGTGCATGCAATGGATAATGTATGTCCTTGCTATACAATACGCTGCACTAAATACAATGAATACTAATACTAATGCGATGAAGTCGCTCCGAATGACGCACAGGATGCACGTGATTTTTTTCTTTTTTTCACTGCAATCTGAAGCAATAGCGAATGTGTCCATAGTAAGCCATGGTATGTTAATCCATAGTGAATAGATCGTCTTTTGTCGTATTTTACACGTAATATATGTGCCTACGCTTCTCATGCTTTTACTGCCTAACATCGCACATAGAAGTGGTCGTACGAGTCTATCGTCTCGCTTTTATAATGCTCATTCAACTTCTTTCTACACGTCGCTCTAAAGAATTTTTATACTATTATTCCGAATGTCCCTTGGGAACGCGGATTATGCGAACCCCAAACCGGTAACAAGACTATTCGTCGGAGTTTTCACGACGAAATATTCCTATTCGGATATATAACACTGACCATTTATTTTTTATATAATAATTTTATATATTTAAAAATTTTTTTATGAAAAATAAATTATTATTTGTTGCGAAAATATTTTATGGATACATCAAATGAAATTAATAAAACATTCTAGTTTTGAATGAATATATTTTCTACTTTGTCCATAATTTTTCTCGTGCAAATTTATTATATAAAATATTTAATTCTTTTTTAATAAGAAAAAATTTATTTTCTCGTGAACTTTTCACATTACGGAGTTCCGTCGCGATGGGAATAATGCCTATTTATGTATTATTGCGTACTGGGTCAACAACTGTGTCAAGGATGTATAACCGCGATGCACATTGAAGAAATCAATTTGTTTAATAAACCGCAGATAAAACTATTATGACTATGGGAGATGCGATCATAAAATATTTATACGATAATATTCGATACAATACAGAATAGTATCGAATGATAGCTTATACTTTTTTAGTACACGAAAAATATAAATATTATTAATTCTGATGTACAAATAATTACAACAAAACACCAATCTAAATAAGCCGGTTTTAACAACGATAAAAATCGACTCATGGTTTCGCGTTTATCATATCAGTTATCAAATTATGTTTTATTCGTATTATATATTTTATTTCTGTGCTCTCTCACAGTAAGAGCAATGATGTAAATCTTCATACGTGCCATGGTAAGCTAATGTGGTACTACATTGGTCGGTGTAAGTGGACGCTTACCATAGGTTCCCTCCCATAGACGTCACATCCTCATTCAGGAACTTAATAATGAGACATTGTTTACGAGCTGTCAATGTTGATCCTTCCACCATAGAAATCGCTATTAAGGACAATTTAAGTTCTCTTAAGCGTGTACAAACAACTCTAGCGAGGTAATTGAACCATCATGCGATTTACTTTCTACAATTTTCTCCAATAAATCAACGGATTCAGTCATCGCAAAACACCATGTATATATTAGCATACAAATCGTACATGTGATATGCTGTAATTGAAATATATTGCTATAAATATCTGTTCAAAGTTCATATGCACAAATTATATAAAAATATTGCATACTCTGCATGATTCTTTTTTAATATTCAAAGATTCGATTGAATTTATTTGACATTTATTAAGGACGTAAAATTTCACTGCAGGATTATTGCAGCAGTTTAATTAATGCTCCGAATATTGTCGTAAATAAAATTGTCGTTGAATATAAATCAAGAATGTATTACTTTATAAATAAAAATATGTTTTATAAACAAATATCGTATGAATGAGCTTGACTGTGTTAACTCACAAAATTTTGAAATTACATGGAATGAAATGATTATATAAATAATGATCTAAATATATCACACATAGATAATAAATAATTAATAAATAATATTAGACATTGCAATAATGTCTAATAAATTAAATAATTATTTGTTGTAATTATTGTGTGCTGCGTTTTCTTACTCGGCCATGCAGTAATAAGTATCTGCAATAAAAACGTTATATAATGTTCAACTAATGTACATACGCTGCATTGTATATTTTATGTACCTACTTGATGTAACTTCCAAAATCCAATCGACATAACTACCGACGCGTGTGTTGATTGCTGGCTCATTATTCCCGCAAGCAATACCGTAACTAATAATGCCCACGAGGACCTCTCGTTTTGTCGTAGGATTTTGCCAAAGAACAGGACCACCGCTGTCGAACTATAGTAGAAATTATTTATTGCATTATTTTTGTTTTTTTTTGGTAATAATTTTATAGAATTTGCAATTAGCGTTACCTGACAGGCGTCTTTTCCCTCTCCATAAGTGCATAATTGACTGTACAATAAACCTGGATAATATCTGTGACATTCTCGGTATGTAATTACGCTCACCATCACTTTTTGCAAAGTGCTTGATTTCATTCCTCCGAATTCTGTCGTTCCCCAACCTATTTCGATCAAATTGTACCGAAATTTATCATTTGTGTAGTTTATATGAAATAACGAATATTTATTTTTTTTTTTAAGGAACATATTGAACAATTTAAATATACTAGTATAACAATTGCTAAAGAAATAGATTTACCCAGTAAATCAACGTAATTTCCTGCGAAGGAATCGAATCGATGTTGGAACGGAAGACAAGCTGGTCCAACTTCTTCGCTAAAGTTTATTATCGAATTGACTGTTACTACAGCTATATCATTTTCTAGGGTTGCGGGATTGTAAAGAGGATGTATATCAAATCTGGATGCAACATACAAGCGAGCAGCACTCGTATCTATATCTGGAATATATTAAGAAAATTTTAATTATTAATTAATGCAAGTGCCGAAGAAAAGCGTCGAATATTCTCTCCGATAAAGATTCTTCAGATATCCTAAAATCTATACAGGTATTTATATTATATTTTATATTTAGTACAGTTTAGTATTTTTAGTATTTTATCTGTATTTAATTTATTTGATGAATTAAATACAAATCAAATAATGATAAGGATTGTGTGATAAAGATAGTACAAAATTATAGTCTGTAAGGAAATCTTCAAGTTTTTTTAATCTAAAGAACTAAAAACAAACCGGTGGTAACATCGTGATCGCCCACTAGTACACCCACTCTGTTTGCATTTCTGTCAGTCACACAATGAGCGGCAGTTAGAACGTGTGTTTGCGAAATGATAGATGATCCGCAATATACTTCCCTTCGATTAGGATCGACAAGACCAGCCATCATAGAATATTCGTTCACACCAGTTTCCATACCTCCCACTATTTTTGTCTGTGATAAATAATTAAAATTATTTAGATAAAGTTTATAGAAATTTTCATGTAAATTTTTTATACTTAATTAGTTTGAGCATACCGGCTTTTTCCATCCACATCTGCAATCATCTTTCGCTATTTCTTCTTCTGCTTGTAATTCGCACAGAAATTGAACTCCTGATGACCAAAATGATGTCAATAATTCAATAGTCATGACTTTTCCCGTCGATATCACGCTAAATGTCTGATTGCCGCAATAAGAAAAAGCCACAGAATCATTTACATATACATTCAATCTGTCGTGAGCACAATTATTATTCTGCGAAAAATATTCTGGATATTAATGTGAAAAAATTCTGAAAGTTTTAAATAATTTACAATTTTAATAACAAATAATTTGTTACAATATCGCGCTATAATGTTTAAAAAATTAGGAAATAGAATTATTTTTATCGTAAACATAAATTAACCATGACAAAAATATTTTCGGTAATATTTAAATATTTCACAAAAATCTTACCCATGGTATGTTAAAATCGTTGCACGTTAATTTCACTTGATAATCGCTTTCCACCACCCATTTGCAGGATTGTCGACCTTTGGAAATGTTAGGATAGTCGGGGCTGTATACGTAATAAATAGTACCAGGTTTTAAACGTTGGGAATAGTTGCAGTCGCGAGTGAACAAACCGTTTGACATTATGAAACATAACGACAGCACGTATATTCCAACTGAAAAAAGAAAATCATTACTGACATTCTATGAATTTCTATTAATTCTTTTATTTAATAATATTAAAAACTCATTATATTCAAGAATAAAATTTTTAATTATTGTTACATTCGATTCAATTACATTGATATCATATAAGAGTTTTGTGCATGTGAAACGCGTAATACGAATCTGTTAGTCAAGGCCGACTAAAACAGAATAGTGATCATTTCACTATTTATAAGTATAAGCCGAAATTATCTCGGAAATAATAATGATAATTAACGATTGGATGCAGCCAAGTATTACATAAGAGTACGAAAATTATTGCGACGCGTTCAACGCCGACATTATTACGCAACTAAATTATTTAGCATGTACGTCTCTCGCGAAAGTATGTAAAATCTTATTTTGTTATTTTCTTAATTTGATGGAAGTAAACAGATTTCAGACTATCTTTCAGCGGGCAATCGATCAAATCAAATTTGCTTCTAAATCATCATGTAATCAAATGGTTTAACTCAAAAATAGACAGTCGTTTCTGAAGAACCGCATTGCGGTTGCCATCATATATAGTAAGCCCAAACAAATGTATTAAGATTGGGACAATTTTTCAAGCCAATAGAAAAATCTGTCAATGTTTCAAATTAAAAAACTTTTATGAATTTTCTAAATAAAGATTTTAGATTTATTAAAAATAATTAACGTTTTTGACGCGGAGTGATAGTTGAAATTTTTCGCATTTTCGAAAATAAAGAAGCTTGCATTTGTATTTAATTATCATAACTTCTGTTAATATAAATTATTAATTATGATTAAGTGCTAGAATTAAAAAAATATATATAAAAATATATACAATATATAATATATTGTATTATTTCTTTTCAGAAATAGAAATTCGTAAAATATGCATCTGCGATCGCGCGGCTGTAAGATTTTACAGGTATAAATTGAACACAAGCAGTTAGAGCAATTTTATTATAAATGTCAATTCTTCCCGCCCCCGGTCTATGACACGCTTTCAAGCAAGCCCCACGTTGAATGAACTTGAATGAAATATGTATATGCGTGCATATGTGTGTCTCTACATAAACGGGCTTTCATTGATTCGCGCGGCGGTCGTTTTCATTAGTTGACCGAATGCCAAGTTGAGCGGGGTAGTCGTCGTAAAAATGGCATTATGCGCTATCTAGTTATGAACTGAAAAATATGACCAGTTTACCATCCACACACTCGACATTATCAACTTATGCTAACAGAACTTGCATCCTAGTGCCATCTGATTTCATTAACTTGCAGCTCGTTCTCACTGGTTGTCATGGTGGTCCAAGCATGGCTGTGTTCAAAACATAAACAAACCGTGAATTTTCTAAAGCTTTGTTAGAGTTGGCGCGATCTGAAGCATTAGGTGTTTGCTAATGATATAAAAATCGTACATGCAAATAAAAAATTTTAAAAATTTCTCTTAATTGGTGTTTGTGCTTTAGGAGCAGGACAGTAATGCCAAATCGCGATGGCAGTGTTGATAAATATGTCAAGGAAAAGGTAGGTTGCATATAAATGCTTTATCTTTTTTCTTGAAAAGATGCTTTAATAGTATTTATTTATTTCACATGATTTTATTGTAATTGCAGCATAAAAGCCGTAGGATTTCATTTGCAGAGAATGAACTAGTACCAGTGCACAAACCACTACACCGTCATAGACGGTTTCACAAAACAAGACGTCATTCAAGAAATGGTGAATTTGAAGAGTCGATGGATAATAAGGATAGTGTTGCATTGCCTAAGAAAAACGGCAAACATCATATTAAAAAAAAAATTGATAAATTAGTGGATGAAAATCAGAGATTAACAATGAAACTTGAGCATTCTGATGTAAATTCTGGTAAGTTCTCACAAACTACAATAGATAATATTCTTATCATGATACAAATAATATTTTACTAAAATTATTGACAAAATATTTTGTCAGAAACTATTGCGGAGCTAAAAGAGAAGGATTCCTTAATGTCAAGAATTAGCAGTAAATATCACAAACTGTTGAAAAGTCACAACAGTCTTCAACAGGAATGTGAGAAACTAAATGTTCTTCTGGAAGAACGTGAAATAGAATTTCAACAGTTGCATACACGTCACAAGGAATTTATGGAAGCCTTACAAAAAGTAGAGAAAACCAACTCCAATCTTGTAACATTTAACCAAAGGTTTAAAACTGAAAATGTTCAGTTGAATGAAGATGTATTATTACTTAAAAATGTAATATATCGACTAAATACAGAGTTGGAAAGATATCAAGATAAATTGAAAGAATCTGGACAAAGTGTTCCATCTAAAAATATTAATGATATATTAGATTCTAAGAGTCTAGCAGATGATAAGGTATTGGAGTCATGGGGTTGTGTGAATACTCATGTGCTAGGCCCACTTTTAGATGCTTATCAGGAAAATTTGTTAGAAAAGCAGGAGCTTATAAACAAATACGAAGAAGACATCACAAATCTCAATACTAGATGTAAAGAAGTTATCGGAGAGAATGAATGCATGCAGAATGAAATTGAAAAGTTAAGATCAAAGGTATGTTAATTATTAAAAATTATCATGTACTTTACAATCTATTGTAGTAAAAGTTTCTAGTGTACCAGGTATGCGGACGAGATCAAGATGATGTCTGAGGACGCCGATTTGCTCAAGGAATTGAACGAGTGTCACACGAAACAAACTACGCACCAGAAACAAAAGATACACGAGATCCATTCGTTGTATGAGCAGAAAGTGGAAGCAATGTCATTTGACAATAACAGACTTCATGAAGAATATCTAGTGTCAAAAACTGAGCTAAGTAATCTTCAAGGAAAATACGATATTCTTCACAAAGAATATGAAAAGTTACAAAATGATAATACGAAAACAATGCCTATTGATGTTCATAATGCTGCTGTCGAAGAATGTAGAGAATTGTTTGAGAAACTAAAACGTCAATACGATTCTGAAAAAGAAAAAGTATCTACTCGCGTTAAAGAATTGGAAGAATCGCACTGTCAAAATAAAACACAATTGGATGTAATTACGATAGAAAGAAATCAATTGAAAGTGTCAAATAAAAACTTCGAAAAAAGTTTGAAGTAAGTATTAATTAATATATTCTAAATTTAGTTTATATATTATTAACATAAATTTTATTCATTTTTAGGCGTATGCAGCGAAAATTGGAGCATCTTCAAAAGTTTGCACATTCGATGCAAGTATCTCGTGAGTCTTTCAAAAAACAATTGAGGAAGACTACTGTCTATTGCGAAGAATTGTTCAACGAATATGAAAGAGTAGTTACTGAGCGGGATAAGCTGATTAAACTTCTACACGAAACAGAAAATGAAAATGCAAGTATTCATTTTCTCGGAGATACTATTACTCAACGAGTAGGTCATTTAAAAGACCAATTAAAGGTAAGGATCAATAGATACTTCTTTATAATTAATTTAAATACATTCTTATTATTATTGCCAGATCGTGCACGAAGGTGCCAAACAACAATTAGCATTAGCGGAAAAAAATATGAAAGTGCAACAACTCGGAGTACACAAGATGAAAGATGAACATCATCGAGAATTGCAACGTCTCAAGCATTTCCTGAAGCAAAAAGATGAAACGATCGGACGATTGCAAAAAGAAATTAGTGCTGCTCGCGAAAACTTGGAACTTGTTTGGAAAGTCACCACTTCGGATAACAAAAAAGGTAAGGGAGTGCTGAAAAATGTGAAGATTCAGCACGTTTAATAAATCTTAGAAAATATTTATAATGTAAAGTGAATATGAAAATCCGTCCACTATAAGATGTATGATATAAAAATATTACTGCCAGTCAACACTAATCATCTTAAGAATATTTTATCGTCTGTGAAGAAAAGCTAGTCATAGTATATATTTAGCATAATTATTGTATAACATAATCTTTATAATCTATTACATATTATACATGACTTATAATAATTATATCTCTTTTTTCACATATTTATCGAAATCTATCACTAAGAGATTAATTATCGATTTGATGTTGCGCCACGAATTAAAAACGGCGTCGCTGTCATTCGATGATCATTGAGATAATGTATTCAACACGATAATGACATTCCGTATGTCAAATATACTCAAATGTGCGTTTGCTCATTGAAAGGAAACAACAGATTTATCGATAGTATCACTGCCTTTATTCAGTGATGACATCAACCGCGGCAAAAGGTTTTGAAGGTTGCCACTTGCGACAGAGTTAACGCCGGGGATACGACGTGAAAAATTGACGTCCCCACTTATAGAAGTGATCTCACATTCCATTACTATTAACATGCAAGACTTATAGATGTGCTCGCGATCGATTTATCGTACTTTGCATTTGTTATACAGTTTTTGCTAATTGCCAGACGTTTTCTGAAAAAAAAAAACGTTTTATGCAGATAATCTATGGACATTGCCTCTTATGTTCTTACCGCGATAATATTGATGCTATCGAGAACATGACATCATGATATAATCTTGATTTATTTGTTTCAGCTTATCCTTTTAGCATCAAATTATTTTTGTAGAAATTATTTAGGTATATATGCAAATATATGTATATATTTCATAATGTTGATACATTAGTAATATTAATATATTTACATATATTTTAATCTTTTCAGCATTTTCATGATTGATTATAGAATATAATTCGTTATTATTATTTTTCTAAAATATGAAAAAAAAATAGTTAAAATAATAATCTAATTTAATTTTTGCGCCAAATTGTAGCTTTGTTACATTGCACTTTCTGTACTTCTTTTACTTCGTTCTTTTTCCCTCCCAATAAGATTTAATGTATATCCATTTCACTTATCCCTCACTCTTCATATAAAGTACAGAAAATGCATAAAAAATGAACAGATTTGATTAATGCGATTGGCTCCCCTGCTTTAACTATTTCGATATTTGCGATTTCTGCAGTGGCGCACTGCTAAATTCAAACTGCCATTCTAACGGAATGCAATTCTACGAAGTCGCAGAATCGCTTTCAGGTCGCTCCGTATTTTTTGCAATTATTATCGTCTAAAGGTGAGTCTTACGCATGAAAGATTATAACGAGTGTCTCGTCAACTCGGTCGTTCGATCATTCGTCGTAATGTATTACGTATCGTGCAATAACAATCACTATTATGTGAAAATATCGCTATTTCGGCATCGGGCTACTTCCGTGCGCCCGGCGTTCCGTGAGCACAGAATCCTCTTCGCATATCTACGATATTTTCTGCGCATCGAAAGGTAATCATCACTAGATTTATACATATTATCCTGTAATTATTTATATTGATGGTATCTTTTGACAAATATGTCTAACGGAAGAGATATTAACAGAGTTGTCATTTTTCAATTTTGCGGCGCTTTGCCCGCAATCGACGAGATGTTACGGCAGCCATATTTATAGCATGCAAAATTATTACTTTATTTTCGAAAATTGTCAGATTTATATTAAGATTAATTTTTATTAATCTCTGAAGTCAGATTTTGTTTTTGAAAGTTTCAAGGAAGATTATTTATTACGAAAATTATTTTATAGGTACGTAATAACATTTCTAAGAAAAGATGAGATTTTGGTGTAAGCAGCACTGGCGAGATAAAATCAGAGATCGTTAATCTTTCATGGGAATTGGGTTGAGAAATTCGCCGTGCGCTAACGCTGTTTCGCCGAATATTACGGCTAGAGCAGGATTATCCAACTTGTGACATCATGCAAGCGAGCGAGCAAGAAATCGAACAAGAGAGAAACGCGAACGGGTGATCGCTCGCACACGCCTAGGTAAGGTTAACCGCTGCGCCGGTTACATCGCATGCCGGTTATACGCGACACGCATATTAATTCAAGGAACTAGTTCTTGCACAATGTATACGTGACAGTCGAATTTCAAATAATTCCACAAGGATACTGTAAAGGCGCTGAAAAATATCGAAGGTTTCGAACATGAGATATGAAATTCAAGTCATATAATCAATTCAGTCATATATAAATTTATAATCAAATGATAATTTTTTTGCAATCTTTATTCTTTTATTTAGAAAAAGAAACTACGAAATATTCATGCCGTGAGAGTAAATTTGAGAAAAGATGTTGCTAAGATTTCAGTTTAATTTGAATCATTACAATAATCTAGGGAAGTCTAATTGATTATAACTATAATAAGAATCGGGGTTATCTTAGGAGTTGTCGCGTGACACACTTGAATGATCTACAAAAGTTACAAGAGCGAATAGATGTTTATCTAGCGATACGAACAAGATTGTAAATTTTTGAAAGGATACATAATTGTGTGAGATAATTATTTATCTAAATATTTCTAGAATTCACTTTGTGTAAAGAGATTTTTATAATAATCTGTTCTCAAATATTTATTAAACATTCGATGGTAAATATTCGAGTTGAATAATGGCGGTACTATTCGGCCGCGCGGCGTCGCGAGTCATCCCTGTGCGCCATCGGTCGTTTCCGGCGCATTTCGTACGGCCTCGTGTAAAGCAAAATGTCGTCTGCTAGGCGCGTCGTCCGTAGTCTGTACAACCGGGTCGGGCATTCGTGACGCGAAAATCGTGGCGCGATAAGGTGATAATGCGCGGTGCGCGCGCTCCGCGCTCGCGACTAGACTGTGTCCGATAGTTTTCAGTGCCGTCGCGTGCGTTCAGCGCTCGGTTCCTTTATCGTGTGAACGTGAGCATCGCCGGACAATAAAGTGCGGAGCAAGCACCCGTCGCTTGCTGCCGGTGGAAACATCGATTTTTGCTTGTTTTCCGTCGCGAGTGGACAGATGATCAGTGACTAAGACCGCTCTCTTCGTCGTCCCGGCGTCCGTCGCGCCCCGCCGCGCACTTTGCAGGTTTCGCTTCACATTTCGGCCGGCATTGCGGATGATGCCACTGTGAGTTGGCGGTGCACCAGGAGGCGAGGACATCGACGGATTATTTTCACAGCGTAAGTTTCTTCCCCTCTCTTCCTGTTTCTCTCTCTCTCTCTTTCTCTCTCTCTCTCAGTCGCGCGTTCGTTCGCTCGTCCGCCCGCTCGCTCGCTTGTTCGTTCGTTCGTTTCACTTCCCCTCGTCGCCGCGAACGTCCGTTGTCGCGGCTCGCTTTTCATCTCTTTGCGTGTGGCACGCGTAAACTCTTGTCGTCGCGTGGCTCTTCATCGCCGCTTATAGTTAGCACACGCTCTAAGCGTCGCGGCGGAGGCGGTGTAGGAGGAGGCGCCGCTTTGCGCGAGAACGCCGGAAGTAAGTAGAATTCTCGTTACACTTTACAGGCGGCTAGGTTAGTCTTACCACGACATACGCGAAGTTGCTGGCGTACGTAGCGCTTTCCGAGACGTGAGGCGCTATACGCGTGTCCACGACGACGTGTTTGGGTTACGTCGCCGACGACGGTGACGACGTGCGCGACTGCGCTACCGTTGCGCCGTGCGACGGGTCGGAAACGAGAATTGAAACGCTCGGCGAATGTTTTACTCGATTTCTAAACTGCATTTCGTCAGTCGCGATCGATGCTTCTTTTAATCGCTGTGCGAAAGTCCGTATCGTTAGTGATATCGTAATCGTATGTTGCGTATGTTGGACAGCGAGTATATATAATTGCGAATATACGCGATATCTACAAGAGCGCGGAAGTGAACGAAAGGAATGAACGAAGTATTTTGAAAGTTGAAATATCGTGTTGTACGTTTAGGTTTTAATACGGTGATTAATTATTTATATTTCGTACTTTCACTCTGTACTAACTCGATTAGACGAAATTGATGTAAAATTGAAATAATTATGAACCATAAAATTAAATAGATATTTGAAATATAATTCAACGCAGGGAGATTTGATGCGTTGATGAAGTTGATTAATTCTACTCGCAAAATGTAGACGTTGGAAAGTTGGAATGTAGTGCGAGTTTTTTTATGCTTTGCTGGAAAAGATAGTGACTAAGCGCCAGGTACGTCAAGAGTTATCCAATTTGCGCAATCGGCGGACCTTGAATGGAAGCGTAACGATAATAAACGTAGCAATGATAAACGTGCAATTGAAAATAGATAGAACAGGCCGCGATATTCTTCGAAAGACGGCCTCGTCGGATTTTCGATTAATACGGATTAAAACGGATTGCATGGGTTTCGTGCTGTTTTCGGAATATCTCTAAAGTTTCAATCGATAGCAGTTTACAGTTTCGTGTTTCCGTCGACATTGTTTCGAAATTTACCGCAGTTCCTCTCCGATCTATATATATCACTCAAACCGAGTAGAATTTTCCGAAAAAAATTATTCGGAGATTAGCACAAGGCGCCCGTCGGCCGATCAATAAGTAGTGCATTTAATAATGTAGATAAATTTCCGAGGAAGTTATAAAACTACAGCTGTAGACACGTGTATCGAAGAAAATTCGTTCCGACGAATTCATGCAATTTTATTTGTTAAATGAGACGGAATATCCGGAGAAATTTTATGCTTATTCGGTGAAATGTTTCAGATAATTTGCAAAGAATATTAAAAACTAAGCTGTAAATTCATTAAAAATATTTGAATATATTTATCTACAATCTAAAAGCTCTATAAAACAGATATATTAGTACAATGACAAATAAAAAACATACTTATTTCTTACAACTTTACGAAAGTATAGTTTCGTTTGAAAGATCTTACAAAAATTTTTTTCTAATCGATTATAATTTTGATCTTCGATTTTAAATCGCAACTTTATATTTTATTTTTTGAAGTTAATAATAAAATAAGCATAAAAAATGTATCTACTTGTCGATTACCAAACGTGCTTGAAATTGCAAATAAACCAGTTTTTCTACTTCGGCTTATCGTGAAGTTCGAACTAAACCTGATATAATATATCATTCATTGTCAGTATGCAGATCGCGTTTAGCGCTAGAGATGAAAAGCATATTTGTTGCCAAAATACGCGGTAAGAATACGAAAGGTGAAATTTTAGCGAGATAGGAATACGAAGAATATGCGTATCGCAGATTAAATCTTTTATCTCATGCGTACCGCGGCTAAAACGATACGCGGCAGATGTGAGCTTTCGTCGACGACCGGTTATAACGTAGCACCCTCGTGAGAGTTCTTTAATGGTCGGTCGTAAAACCAGATCCCGACGTCGCTCCGTCTTCAAGTAAAACTATTGTAAACCGCGCGTGTTTTGACTCGTGCTTCGTTAAATTTGGCCGGGAATAATATTGTTGGATTATGAAAGAAACGAGAATACATTTTTGAACACAGTTCATTCTTCAAATTTTCCGTCATGCAATGCAGCTTATTTATTTTCAATTTGATAATAATTTGTATATTTGTGTAATTTGTATAATTTCATATATATTTAACTATGTATAATTTTGAAGAGATTCAGCGTGCGACATACTTCGACGCGCCTCATTGTGAACAGCCCACCCTAATTATGTCCGAGTCGGCATTATTTCGTGCGAATCGAAGCTGTTCGGAGCTCGTAAGTGGAACGGACATCCGCGCCGCGTCGTCGA